CTGGAGTAGGGTTGATGGATAATGCAGAGTTTTGCACTTGGGGTTTGTAGAATCACAAGGTTGCAATTTGAATATCTGAGTTTCACTTCAACTAACTAAAACACCGGTTTTACAAATAACAGGGCCGGTGCATAAACTTCCAATCAATAAGACTACCTAACACTTAGTCTGTAATTTAATAGGGTTTAAATTTGGACCGACAATTAACCCTAATCATTACCGAATCATCCATGTATAAGCATGTTTTACTCTCAATTCTCAAATACCATATGCAATCCTTAATATAATAGCTAAGAGTTAGTTTGATTTTTAACTTGGTTCTCAATATAAAATCTAAATCCACTTTGTCTTTCATATTTATCTTTTTTTTTTTAACTAATTCTTATAGTAGCTGTACATATTAAGGTTTCATTAAATGGTACTTTTAACTAATACAAATAATGAGTAAGGGTGTTTTAAGAAAGACAATACCTATTTATTACAAATAACTAATTTAATTAATTTTCTTAACATCTTTAAATTAGTTAAGTACGGCTAGTTTCTTACTTTCTTTTGCTGATAAACAACAAAACTTAATGAGGATAATTTTGCAGAAGAAGTAGGAATAATCACTTTGAGTCTTTGAGCACTGATACTACTGGCAGCCTCATCTTCCTGGCCGGTCCGAGGGGGATGGTTTTATATATATATATATATATATATATATATATATATATATATATATAGAAGAAGGTAGGTGGGCGCCATAAACATAATAGAGCATTTGCCTTCACCGAGCTATTGGTGATTGATTAATCATAGATTACCTTTATGCACACTCACTCTAATCATGGCTCACTACGCATACATGCAATTGGCTTCCCATTCAACGGATACCCCAAGTCACCATCCTCTTTAATCACTAAAGTGCAGTACCCACTTCCTGCTCTTATAATATATTTAATTAAATTACGCTAACGAACATTTGATCCATCCATATCAAATCAATACCATCATTTTCGTACCTCAGACGATTATTTAAATATTTTCGACTGTTCAAAGTACGATTTTTCCCCCGCCCCATCGAAACCTTTAGTCACGAAGTTAATTTCATTCCCTATCACCATGGTACATAGGATATTGTGTTGCACTTGATTAGATATAGCGAATTTAGCATCCCAAACTATTAAAAAAAGTAGATTGTTGGGTATAAATGAAAAATAACAACATGAATTGTTGAATATATTAGGAAAGTAGTATCATCATAAATAAAATTAATATAGTATATACTTAAAATTAAGCTCTTGCTTAAAATAATGACGAGAAATACTTAATATATCATCATTAACTCAAATGTTTATTTTCTTTAATTGGGAAAAGGAGAATTTATATGAGGGACACGTATGGAAGTAGAATTTCTCTGCTAATGGTTCTGTAGCCTATTAATATATATAATTTCCTTGTAAGTTGGGATCGAGTTGTGTGAGTCCCATTTGTCGTCTTAAATGATCATTAGTGCATGCTTCCTCTGATTCAAAGAAGGAGAAGAAGAAGCTCTAAGATATCTGGTCTCTTTTTGTTAAATCATAGACGGCCGTTTCTGATGAATTATTAGTAAATATCCATTAGCAGAGTAGGAAACCGATATTTGAGCACTAAAATACAAAAAGAAAACTACAGTCACTCATTGAATAGGAAATGCAACACATAGGGAGCAAAAGAAAGCAAGGAATACAAGAGAATGAAGTCGAAGTTGGTCAACCTCCCATTATTAATCGCTAAAATATAATAAAAAAAAATCAGTTTCATACTATCATCCATATGATATAGCCTAACTGCCCACGACTCTCAATTTGTCCGCTCTAGCCTTTATGACGTCCCATGCACAGAGCACACAACACACACAGCCACACACACTTGCAGAACGAATATTACTTTTTCTTCGACAAGGACATTATGTGCATGCACACTTGGCTCTATATTTACATGTTTCTTAAAAGTTCTTAAAATAATGCAGATAAAACTGAGAGGAGACGCATGGCGAGATGGAGATGGTGGGGGGAGGCTAGCTGATGGATCCAAAATCGCAGGATTGACCTCAAAGCAGACGACACGTGTATGGATATGATAACCCGAAATGTCTTGTACGAGAGATCATATTTATTTGAAAACCGTGGCAACGTTTGAATGGAAGAGAGTTCAATCCCAATTCTGATCACGTCTCTTTCAAAAAACCCTTCCTTACGCTTATATATTTTATTACTAATCCAATCAGATTATTCCGCCTCATCTCATTTTCCTGCCTTGTCACTCTGGTTTCCTTTGTTTTGGGTCATCCCCTCGTCTTTAATTTCTCATTACTTCTTCTCCCACGCGTAATATTTTAATTAAATGCTGGAACTTTCTAGACCACCCTGGTGATGAGTCCTCTTTCTTTGCCATTTTCTTTTTGGGTTGGCCGGTTTTTCTGTTATTTGTCTTCATCCTCACGTTCTTTAATTAGACTGCAAAATGACACTCCCGCTAATTAATCTAAAATTGTCTATTAATAAAACCAAAATCCCTCTACATATGTTTTTTTCCCTTCCACTCCATGTCATGCCCAAACGAAGATTATATAGGCAGTTTTTGGTATGGCAACCTTTTCAAGTGAAATCCACTTATAAGAGTGAAGTTTCTCAAGCTAGAATAATTATGATAATGAGCCGCAGCAGTTTGGAAATAATTATTTTTCTGTGAACGTATTGCAGATAGCGAGGTTTTCTACAACTTCTGAAGATATATTGATATTCATGTTTTTACGCGGGCGTAGATTTTTAGTGTAATAATTTAAAGAGCTTTGTTTTCTTTCAGAAAATATAATTAATTAAATACCTTGTTTTCTATGGAACTCTTCCGGGGATTTAAGGATGAAGTAATTAAGAAGTTATTTCGAATGCCTCTTTCTCTTCCTACTCGAGAATGGGAAAAATAAAAAATGCATAATAAATAATACTCCTTTGGTCCTAAGTATAAGATCCTTATATATAGTACAAAAAATATCTTATATTTAGGATCGAAAGAGTAATTTGTTTGGAGATAACACACAGGGTTAAATGGCGGGGATTGAACAATTATTGAAACATGTTACAAATAAAGAAGTAATTAACATAGCCAAAGGGAAAAAGGGGTAGATATAATGATGAGAAGGAGGAGGAATCCAAATTGAATTGCAAAAATAAGTAAAATGATGCCACTTCTCGGAATTTCTTATACGTAAATCTTCTTCTACATACGTACGCGGCCGATCACTGCTCACGCCTGTCTGTTTGTGTACGTGTTTGTGAGAGAGAATTAATTAGTGGCAGATTTTTTTTAAAAATTAATTAGGTGGGAGAAGAATTTAAAATAGGAGCCAAAGTCAAATATCAAATGAAACATTTTCAGTGTCCCACCTTACATTCCTGCTCAACATGATTCCGGCCAGCGCGCGCCGTGCTTTAATTATACATGGTGCTTAAACAAATTTGGCAGGCACGAAGATGAAATTAAGAATCATGGCAACAAAATAATAAGAAGATGAGATATTAAAATAGAACAAAATAAATTATAAATAAACGTCATTTATTTATAGGTACGAATATAAAATATTAAGCATCTTGGCAATAACCATGTGTTTTGCTTTTAATATTTATCAAACAATGTAAATATTGTTTCATCCACAGCTGGGCAATACCGGCGACAATTTTATTTTTGGTAAAGAATACAGGTGACAAGTTAATTCATCAGCTCTTTCCAATACTTTATGAATATCTTCTAAGTTAGTTGGCAGTCAAATCTACCAATTTTAATTAAGTTGGTCGGCCTCATTTAATAAATTTATGTTCCACCATAGGTTACAGGTTTTCATTCATCCCCAGGCTGAATGATCCCCTGCGCACAGGCATGCAAAAACATAAAATATTCCCCTTATATGTTGTGTAAAATCGAAGAATTTTATTTACTGACTCCTATTGGTTTATACTTAAAGGATTAGTTATAATTTAATCCTCTCAAAGTTACCCGTAATTTATAGTCACGGATCTTTTTATAATCACCAACTGAGTTTAGAGACAAGAAGATTTATAAATATCACAACTCGACTGACAATTATAAAATTTTAACTTGCAAGTTTAAATTTTTTTATTTAACATGCAAATATAATGTTGTTGGAAATATCTACATTTAACTTTATAACCTAATTTTTCTTATCTTCTGTTAGGATGAGGATTTATGGTTAATTTTAAGAATTCAACTACTACTGAAAAAAAATACCCCCTATTTATGACAAACGCGTTCAACAGAAGGCAAAGTAAACATGCCAGTACTACTCGGTAAGTTGAAAACGGAACCAGTGATCCGGTATGGCCGAGTTCATCTGAAACCGCCTAACGTTAATTAATTTGTTGGCAGTTCTCACCGGTGACGGCGCCGTCAAGGCCGCCGAGCTGGAACGCGTTCGGCTCCAATCGTTCCGTTAGGGGGCCGATGTGGAAGTGCGATGCGCGTAGGCAAGGTGGGCCCCACTTTCGGCGTCATCGCGTGGGCCCTAGTGAATGGTTCGAGATGTTGACCTTTCTTGCCATTTCATGGGAAGGAGATCGGACGGTTCAGAAGAGCGCGTTGGTGTGATCTGTACGCCACCGGCGGACTATACCTTCTACGAAAGACAAAGATCCATTGCAGTTGCGATGCACACCAGCTCGCACCAAATCGATGAACAGCAGCTGCCTTGCGCCACGTCAGCGTAGCAATGTCTGATAAAACGAGTAGAAGGCAGCTCAGCGTAGAGCCGAAAGAGTCCGTGAGCCGATGATATTAAACTAAAAGGGCTTGGCGCATTCAACCAACTCCGGAGCTGATTATGCCCCTCGTATTATGGAAATGACAGAAAACTCCAATCTCTTTTTCGTGGCGTCTCTTTATTAGCGAGTATAAAATTTTTTATTACAATTCATGCTCATCTCATGTAAACCCTGAAAACATTAAAGCACCAGGAACATCGCCCAAAACTTCAGAAGTGCCCCTCTCTCTCTCCCCTGCTGTTTCTGCCCTCTCTTTCCTTCCAAGTCTTTGACACTCGATTGCCTGTATTTTCATGCTCTGGTCTCTGTTCTAGGCTTCGTTTTCTTGGCGCGCCTTAGACTGAGAGGGATTATGGGTTGCTTTTGTTTTGCAAAGAAATCAAGCAGAAAATCGCAGGCCAACGACTATAGCCAGAGCGCAAAGCCCAACAATCACACAGGTGCTGGTTAATTTTTTCGATGATCTTGATTTAATTTACTTGAATGTTCAGATAACACGCATTTGGCTAATCGACTGAACAAACTGATTACCCATTCTCTGTGATCATGGTGATCTTTATTTTTTCTTGTTTTCTGAGTAATCTACCTTTTTCTTTTTCCAAAGATTCTAGACATGGCTATGTCCTGAACTCATCAATGTTCATTCTTCCCGGCTCGTCGTATGCCATCTCTCTCAGTCCTTTTTTCTGGGTATGAAAATCAAGTGCACCTCCTTTGTTTTATTTTGGTGGAATGTTTCCCAGGAAAAAAAAAAAAACAGTTTTCTTTGGAAACGGAAAGAAAATTGTGAACTTGGTTTTTATGTAATTTATGTTCAGTATCAAGATTAATCGTGGTGGTCGGTGTTAACGTTCTCCTCTGATATTCCTAATCTTTCTCAGAAGTCATCGGATAAATTTTGACATCTATTGTCTATTTCGAAGTATTCATATAGGCCATGCTTCATTCTTCTTTCTCTCGGTCGCTTGCGTTTTTGAAAATACTCAAAGGGTAATCGAAAGTCGGGCTTGTCTTTTTGCACTTTGTTTACTTTTAAATTTTGATGGTTGTGGGTTCTCCAGTCATCTCGAATACAAGTCATTTCCTTTTTGATAAGTTGCATTAACTTGGACGCCTAGTGTCTCGTCGGATCCCTTTACCTTGGGCGCATTTTTGCATTTCTTACAGATACGGTGAAAGTTGATTTGAATGTGAATGTGACGAAGGAAGCTCATTCTAAGGGTGATCAACTTTCTCAGGATGTGAAGAGATTAAATTTATCGGACAATGGAGACACTAGTGGTAGCACGGCTCAGACTTTTACTTTTGATGAACTTGCAGCGGCAACAGGAAATTTTAGGTCGGATTGCTTTTTGGGAGAAGGAGGGTTTGGCAAGGTTTACAAGGGGCATTTGCAGAGAATAGACCAGGTTGGTTTGGGATTGAACAAAACTTATCAGTGAAATATTAATCTGGTCCAGCCGTTCTAATATATTGTGTTTTGTGCTCTTGTGCATCACGTTACTGTGCATATCTAAGGTTTCTGTCGAGTTGCAATGCGATTAAGATTTGTTATTTTTAATGCAGGTTGTGGCTATAAAGCAACTTGACCCTAATGGACTTCAAGGAATTCGGGAATTTGTTGTTGAGGTTTTGACACTTGGTCAAGCAGACCACCCTAATCTTGTGAAATTGATTGGGTTTTGTGCTGATGGAGATCAGAGACTATTGGTCTATGAGTACATGCCATTAGGATCTTTGGAGAACCACTTGCATGGTATATACTATGATCCTAATATCTCATTTTTCTTCAGATAGAATCTACACTCAGCAAGTTTTCTTTTTTTAAAATCACCATTGCATTGCTTATTGATATCCCCCATTCCACCTCAGATCTTCCACCCGGTAGAAAACCACTTGACTGGAACACGAGAATGCAAATAGCAGCCGGAGCTGCAAAGGGCTTGGAGTATTTACATGAGAAAATGAAGCCCCCGGTCATATACCGTGATTTGAAATGCTCAAACATCTTATTAGGTGAAGGATATCATCCCAAGTTATCTGATTTTGGTTTGGCCAAAGTAGGCCCAAGCGGCGATAAGACACATGTTTCAACAAGGGTTATGGGCACGTATGGTTACTGTGCTCCAGATTATGCAATGACGGGTCAGTTGACGTTCAAGTCAGACATCTACAGCTTTGGCGTTGTTCTTTTGGAGCTCATCACAGGCAGGAAAGCCATTGATAACGCTAGACCTGCCAAAGAACAAAATCTGGTTGCATGGGTATGTCAATGCTTGCTTATTCAGGGTTACCACTGAAGTCCATGTTAGTTGATTTACTTTTGCAGATATTTCCTTTCTTATTATCTTGTGGTAAAGAAATAGAACTGCAAGTGCAAATGCTCATAAATCTGTGGCACTAGTTTTGATTGGGCATCAGTTTTTTCATATTACCTTACATTTTGCCAGGGTTATGCTAAGAACTAGAACCATAGTTGGCATTCAGTTGAAAGAACCAAAGGTGGAGGCTTTATATGTGCTTGCACTCCTCAAAAATTTCAGAGAAGATAGCCTACTTAACTATTTATTGGTTGCATCTTTGATTTTTTTTTTTTGGTCCTCCGATGGTCTGATGTGAAACGCCTGAGACAGACAATTTTCTGAAACTTGCTGACTGAATTATGAATTATCTGCTCATTAATTTTCCATAAGGAAATTGGCGCTTTCTATTAACTTCTCCCTCCCTGCCATGGGCCTCAAAAAAAGAAAATACCCCTGCAAAATTACTGAGAATCCCATTCGTGTGTCAATTTATTCATTTGTTTGCTCTTGAATACCACATGTTCTGGTTGAACGTTTCATTTGCATATTTTCCTTCTGTTGTTATCTCACCTATGTGAAACGAAACCTAACTGTCAATGTGGAGCTTGGATGGTTCTGGTGTATATCTTGGATTGTGCACAACACAGACATATTTTTCAAGAATTTTTTAAACTCCTGTTCTTCATGGAATGCAATTTTTCTTTACATACGCTTAGAACACAGTTATGTTCTTTTTGTGTGCTTCTGAAAAAAGTTATGTGAATTGAGAAAAAAATAAGTAACTTGGGTTTTATGTGGTGTTTGCAGGCAAGGCCGTTGTTCAAAGACAGGAGAAAATTCTCCCAAATGGTAGACCCATTGCTGGAAGGCCAGTATCCCGTGAGAGGTTTGTACCAAGCTCTGGCTATTGCTGCCATGTGTGTTCAAGAGCAGCCTAATATGCGGCCTGTGATAACCGACGTGGTTACCGCATTAAACTACCTTGCCTCCCAGAGATATGATCCCCGAACTCATCATCAAGTACACAACTCCAGAAGAAGGGATGACGATCAAACACATCTTGCTCGTAATGGTTCTTCCTCGGACAGATCATCAGATTAAGAATATTTGTGCTTGTTCATATGTCAGTGTGCCTTGCTATCAATTTTTGCTTCACAGAAGATAACAAGGCGCTTTTACAATCTTTTGTTCTATTTTTTATATATATATAAAAAGAAAATTTTCTGATATTTCCTCTGGGTGTACATGTGAGCTGCCTTCCTTGTATTAAGAAGCCTCTTCGTAGGATTTTTTCCTTTTGCCCATTTATTATGAGAATTCAGCCTCAGTCATAATAAATGACTTCTTCCAGCCCACATCTTGAACTTACTCATGCTTTAACAATGATCTAGACCTCGTTACACAAGTTGCCGCACCGATGATTGTCTTTATCCCGTGTTTGAGTTCAGCAATTATATTGAAATTATTATATGCATATAAAATTTAGATAGAGAAACGGCCACTCCTAAATTCATAACTCTATACGCCCCTGCTTACGAAGGCTCTGAGTTTCTCTCCCCCAAAAATGGAAGGAGGACAGTTTAGCAGAGAATGGATAAAAATGACAGTTACTGGGATGAGAAACTGAGGTCCGTACACATCCATAAACTACCCCTCTGAGAACGGCGCTAACTAACAGAGATCACGTCACGTGTATTGCTATATTTCCATATAAAATAAGTGCGGTCTCTTTTTATTTTTCATCTGCTTAATGACACGTGGATAGTACAATTATCAAATGCCACCTACATATATTTTATACACCCTGCTGGTGAGTGTGTAATATCAAGGCCAGTGGCAGGCGGATAATTACCTCGGCGCTTTGGCCATCCACATGCGTTGCCCGCTTAACCAATTTCCCGCCCGAAAGTTTGCTGATTAACTAAACGAGCAGGGAACCCCCAAGCCTTGGAATTATTAACTGACACAGTTTTCTTCCATTTTATCATTGCAAAACGCCAACACTCACTCTCTTCTTCTTCTGAATCTGTGTGAGGGCGATAACATTCAGATGCAGCAAAGGACCTCAAATGCGAGTTCTCGCGGCTCTGGCGAGCACAGAGCCGTCAATCTCGGCGATCCTTCACAAACAAAGCGAGGAAAAACAGACGGTGATGATACGTCCGGCCCTCCACTTTACGATACGCGAAGCACCAATGGAAAGAGAAAGGTTTCCTTATCACGATCGGCAGAGAAATGGCTTCACGCTATTCCTTTGATTCTGCTGCTTTGCCTTTTCCTGCTTTGGTTCAATTATTTTCCAGGTATAAATTTCAACACAACTGTGCTTGTTATCCTCATATTGTTTTACTTTCTTCGTATTCTGACTTGTTCTAATCTACTGTTCTATCATCTTTCAAGCGTGTACCTTGTATTCAAATAAATTATAGTTGCTGATTGCTAATAGTTTTCTACAAGATAATCAACTTTCATTCCATTCTTCGCTGTTATTCCTAGTGTAAATCTCGGTTGTTCGATCGAACAAGTACTTTTGCCACTTCTGTGGTCATTAAATAGGCTTAGTAGCCCTTGGGCTATTTGTTTATCATAAAATTACTGTTCATTCGGAATTTTCTTCAATTTTCTAACAAAGTCTTCTCTATAAATTGTTTGGACTTTTGAAAACAGTGAATGTGACGGTTAGAGATGGTAGAACTACAGTCATACATCAGATTCATGCACCGCTGCCTAACACTACACATGCTGATCTCGCCATATTAGTGGTGTCCGCACCACCAATCTTGTCACTTGCTCAAAATCTGTCACACCACAATGAAACTTCCTTGCATTTGGTGAGCTCGCCTAATTGAAACATCATTTTCTTCCAATGAATAAGGTGTCAGGGTTTGAAGTTTTACCGAACTTTGTGTCAATTCATCTCCGATAAGTTTGAGATGCTCTATTGGACAAGACAGCAAAATTAGCTGAACCTATGTTTCTTTGCAAGAACCATATTTTGGTTCTGTTGCCCTGGTTGAACTTGTTATGTAGAATACATGCCAAAACGAACTATCACTACTGACATGCCTTTTTGAATTTACATGGCGGAAATGGAAAACAATATGCACTGGACGGCAAAATTGTAGCTTGTATTTCATGGTCAGTAACAATATCTCAATTTGTGTTTCGTGGACCTTCTGATGCAATCGTAATCTTAGGATTTAGGAAAATGACTAGAAGCTATTTCTTTATCTATACGCCTTGAATAATGAACTATATGTACCTTTCCATGCTACAATTCAGCCACTTCACCATCTCGACAATTGCCCACCCATATGTACATGGTTGATCTTCGATGTGATGGCAGAACTCTACAACAGTCCCTCCTTGGCGACTGCAAAGGAAGTTTATTAAATATGGACGGAAATGTATCTACGTTATTGTAAATCATTTTATCTCATTTGAATCATTGAGAATCCGTACCTTTTGCCAGCGAAAAGGATCTGGTTGCTTTAAAACAACAATGGAGTTGATTTTTTCCGGAGTTTCCATTTCCCCCTGGCAAAAAGGAAGTCTAGATTTCTCACGAGTATATGTCCCAACAATTTGTTTACTGGCTCGATCGTATCGAGACGTGTTTATGTAGAAAATGAAGGGTTTTCGACAGCGGTAATGGGAAACAGGCCTCGTGTTGAAGGAGTATCCGTTGTAATCAGCTTTTTTGAACCAATTGAGAAAGGTTCTCGAGGGCATCTCTAATTCTCTTGGGGACAATACTCCCTTGAGGACTTGAACCACGTAGCCCCACGATACAGAGATGGACCAGTATCTGCTTCTGTCGTAGCAGATTGATTGCTGCATTATGCTGGACGAGTCCATCTTGATGGATTGCATCAGGTGTCTGAGGCCTTGTACTCTGTTCATTCGGGGGAATATGGGTTCCACAACATCAAGGTGGTGCATTGTCACTAGTGGGGTCACGGGATGTGCCCCCAGGAGGCCTAATAGGTTTCCGTGCACATCATACTGCACAACCAAGACATAAACAAGTAAGAAGCAAAACCACTGACCATTTCCATCCAATAATATTAATTAGTGTTACCTGATGAAACCCAAGTTCCTTGGTTAGCGGCACACCTATCTCAGCCATGCAAGCTTGAATTCGGTCATCGCTGCCATATAAACCCGGGTATCGCTGAATGCAACGATCCTGTACGTTGGCCAACTCCTTGGCCAATGGATAGCTTATAGCGAATCCTCCTCCACCATATGCCATGGAATAAGAGAAGTATATATTCTGAGCATGACTCTCTGATGAGCTCCCAATATAGTAGAAGTGTCTGTGATCGTACTTGGAAAGAATTCTGACTACATTATTTACCACAAACACTGTGTCATCGTCTCCCATCACGAACCACCTCACATCCTTCATCCCAAGCTTGAATGTCTCGGTTACTACCCTTGAAATCCTCAGTGCAGATCTATCCCCCTGAGGGTTCGTATATTTGAAATTTGAGGTGTCTCCAGAAATTCGAATCTGGGGCAGCCCCTCGTCACTTTTAGTACTTACTTTTCCATCCAACCAGACTATCCCTCTGGTTACGTTAGGCTTCCACCATATCTTTATGTATTCCTTTCTGGTATCCCACAATTTGGATGAAGCTGCTATCCCAAACACAATGTGTTTGAGTTCGGTGTCCTGCCTTTTAGATAACAGAGGGGGCGGTGATCTAACTGTAAGGTTCTTTTCTTTTGTTTCTTCGCCTCTGCCAGCTTTCTCTTGGTCGTTAATGGTAGCTGAGGATGTGTTAGTCAGATGAAAGTGTTTCGTGGAGGCGTCATCTAAATGTGGGGAACAATCTCGATGCTCATTCTGAAAGAGGACGAGGTTGGAGGAGTAGAGGATGTATAGCATGATCATCGCCAGAATGAACCAAGAGATTATACTTGTAGAGCCTATCTGGATCATTTGTTGCTGGCAAGCAGAGTACATTTGGTTCCAAACTGATTTTTTCTCTTCCACGATCTTTCAGGTGGTTGAAGCTCAGAATTCATCGGATCATGCAGAGGGAGAGAGAATAGTTACTAATTTGCGTTTTTTCCCCCCCGGTGCGGGCTTTTCGTGCTTCTAGGTGAGGTTTGCTGATGCGCTCAAATAATAGAACTTTTTTTTTTCCCCTTTTTTAGTCTTGTTATTCCAAAAAAAAAAAAGATCATTTTTTTTTCCAAAAAATGAAATGCACTGAGGTTGGGAGGTTTTAGGAGCCCAATTATAAACGGGCAGCTCGAAGCCCGGATATAATGCCTCTCCTTTTGCCAGGAAGAGCTCGATCACATGTTGAACTCTGGAAACCCCCTTCGGTTCTTCCGCTTGAAATGGGTTTTATTTTCATGGCAATATATTAGCCCTCCTAATTCTTAATATAAAAATAGTTTAACTTTTAATTTGATTCTAAACATAAGATCCTAATTTATTTTATCTTTTATATCTTTTTATTTTTTTTCAAAGTAATTATTGTAATAGTTACACATGTTAAATATTTCATCAAATATTAAATATTAAAGTTAATACACTTGGTTAATAAGGGTATTTTAAAGAAGATAGTACTTATTTATTATAATAACTAATTTAACAAATTTTTTAATCTACTCAAATTAGTCAATTAACTCTTATATTGAAAATTAGGGATGGTACATCTGTATTTTGCCTGCCACCTTACATTTTCAAATCAAAAACTCAGAAATTGTCTCTCAGTCCGTACTTTTTGTTTCTCTCGTTGTCGTGAAAATAGTGCAAGGACAATTAGAAAGGGTATCGGATTCGCCTTGCCCAACACGGATGTGCTACTCGAGTGATGGTCAGAGCTGTGGATGTTGATGGAAGTAGAAATTTGGGTCAGGGGTCCCTTATCCCTGCCATCCCAGCAACTAAAGGACATTCAAATGTGCGACTGAATCTGATGAATTGCATGTGGCAAGTACAAGCCGACGGTGATCCAAGGCAAATGACGCACAGAATGGGTTTCTTTGAAAGTGTCCATTTCGTCCCAAAATTATCTTTACCCACAGTCGGCAGTCCCATGATCTTTTACTTCACTTTCAACCATTTAAATTCCAAGATTCTAAAGAAACTCCATCATTGTCTGTGTAGAATGTAATATATCGTGTGATGAAATAGCAATTAATTAATATGAGAAGCCATGTATTATTGAATAAAACAGTATGAGGTGATGTGAGGGTCACACGGGAGGAAACAGATAAGAGGATACATGCAAAGGCGTTCACATGGGTTATGGGACATTGGGACCTCTACCATCTCTTTCCTTTCTTTCATTTTTTTTTTTTTTTTGCCTTTGGGCTGGACAGACAATACATTAATTAAGAACTGATGAGTGAGACTACCTCAAGATTAAAGGCGTAATAGATCTGGTTCATCACCCGTCCTTCCTTTAAGTTGTTTTTTCTCCACGAGCCGACGCGGCATCACCCAAATGTCAACTAAGTGGGGGAGGCGTATGTACAAGACTTTTGTTTTACTTACCGTGATAAATAAAATGTTCTGTTGACTTACGTCCACTATTACTTGTGTATCATAAAAGCAAATAGGTGTTGATTAAGAAGTGACGAAGAAGATAAGAAAATAATGAAACGGAATAAATAGCACTACGATATGTGGAATCTTCATGTGTGGGGGCCCATGCCACACATGCATGGGTGAGAGAGAGAGAGAGAGAGAGAGAGAGAAACCAAGGCAGCTTAATCAAATCCTGCGTCTCAAATAACTTACTAATATAAAGTTAATTGATACTCTCATATTTCGCTTTCAGCCAACTTCCCAGCAGGCTTATCTTTTTTCCCCCTTTTAATCCTGAAAACAATAATATTCCAACAAAAAATTAGAGCAAGGGATGACGTTTGTTCATGAAGAAGAAGATGGTATTTGATGAGAGAAGAACTTATCGCTTTGTATTCTAAGGTATCCTGGAGAGTCCACGTCATGAAGTTGAACATATTGATGAAAGCAACTTTACCTGAGTAGCACCACATGTTGAGGCCCAGAAAATGGAAAAAAGAAAAAGAAAAAAGAGAAGGGTAAACACCCTCCGCCATATATTACATTTTCCACGAAATATTTTAATTACAACACTCTCCTCACTTTTTGTGGTCGTGTGTCGTCCCCATCAACCGCCGCCCTGGCGTCCCGCCTTCTCATTCCCAACCCCTCCTCCGTGCCTGTGACCCCTGCTTTCCTATTATGTCTGTTTTTTCCTTCCAAAAAAATGCCACCCCGTTGTGTCTGCTTTGTGCCACGTGTCTTATCTCCTCTGCTCTCTCTCTCTCTGTGTGCACAGCTCAGCATTTTTTTTAAAAAAATTGTGAGTGTTATGGTAATAAACTGGTAAAAATGGAAGGGAGATATTTACATCACATGTAGGTCGGGGCAGTATTGGGATATTTTTTTTCGGTTGTGTGGCGTTGTTGTTATCATCAGTTATAGGTGGGCTTGCCCGACACAGAGACGAAAACAGTATTGTCGTAGGAACAAGTGGTCGGTACATTCTGCAAATATCAACGTGGCAGAGACAAGGTATACATCCCCCCTCCCTGCTCTCTCTTGTTCCTTTGCTCTCCTGCCAACCCACTTCCAGTCTGTCACTCATTTACCGCGAGCTCAAGTCATTGCAGGTAAGCTTCTCAAGAACAACCTTACTCCGTTGCCAGAGTGAAAACGAAATCATTCCTCTGAAGAATATTTTTCCTATGAAGTTTTGAAATGATTTGAACAGTGACCCTAAACCTGCTCAGGATCATGTGAGATTTCGACGCACAGGGATAAGAGGCCAAGCCTTTTTCGACAATGATTGTCCCCCTTTAGAACTCTTTTCTAGAATACCATCTCCTTCATCTCCCTTTCTCTTCCTATATATCCTCCATCCTTTCTTCGCTTTCTCTGAGCAAAAAACCCTCCAGTCTCATCACTAGCATTACAGAACTCCTTCCTCAGGTAATTGCAATTTTAGTTATATCTTCATTTTCTTTTTCAGTTTTTGAACTTCTCTCATGCTTGCCGAATTGTCCTTATCCTGGGCTGAGCTCTTTGATGAACTCTTGTAATGTAAACTTTTATATATGTTACCTCCAAAGCCGCTGGTGACTTTTCCGATCGACACTTGTCCCGCTTCACACTTGCACGCTAACTTGTTTAGTGACTATAACCATTCTCCTAGACTTCAACCGAGTCGTCAACACTTCTCAATCGATTTCCAGGCATTAAGGATGCTCTGCATTATGCAGAGCTTCCATGACTTATCAGAGACAGTAATATCCCGCAGACACCGTGCTGCTGTTACTTTTATATTGCCATAATTAGCAAAGAACCCACGCATTGTCCTCGTCTCGGCTTTAATGTATTGATAAATTATGTCTCCCTCGTATTTCTCCAGTCACATACTCCAGTTTCACTTACCGTTGACAAAATCTACCTAGAGTGATGTGTGATATGCTTCCATCACTCTCCAGAGTCCCTATTACAATTACTGACCCTACCCCACGATACTCTCATATAAATGCTAATCTCTTGAACTACAACAACTATGTGTGTGGGAGTCCGAGTTGAATTTCGGACTCGATCATTATTCTCCACACATTAATAACTTCATCTAATCACTGAGATTCAAAACAGGGAGAGATGGAGGGTCTATACTGAAATTTTGTTCGTAATATTCACATTCTGATTACATATGAACGCTTCGTAACAGTGGGGAGATGGAGCAGTCAGAAAAACCAGCAAAGCAATCACAAAAAAGGTCATCATTTCCGAGAGACCCTCGTGGTTCGCTCGAAGTGTTCAACCCTTCCTCCTACTCAACGGACAGTCCATCAGATTCGCCGTTCCGATCTCAGCCAAAGTGGAAAACTTGGACAGAGCAACCGACCACCGCCACCCACAAGGATGAAGTCACCAGCACATCATGGATGGCCCTCAAGGACTCCAGTAGTCCATCGCAGCAGACTCTGTCCGCCATTCTTAACGAGCGACCTGAGCAGACCCCGAAATCCCCGTCCTCCGTGAATTTTGCCGGAGAAGTAGGCACGGCAGCGCAGAGAGCTGCTGAGTGGGGACTGGTGCTGAAGACTGACACGGAGACGGGGAAGCCGCAGGGAGTGGTTGTGAGAAACTCGGGAGGAGAGGAACCAAGTGCGAAGATCTCAGGTACCTCGAGAAGGAACTCAAATAACTCGGTGAGAAGCTCCGGTGACTCGTCGGAAGACGGAGGAAAAGAAATACGGGGATTTCCGAGAATTTCAGAGGATTTGAAGGATGCTTTGTCGATGTTCCAACAGACTTTCGTGGTCTCGGATGCGACCAAACCCGATTATCCGATCATGTATGCTAGTGCCGGATTCTTTAAGATGACGGGTTATACTTCCAAGGAGGTCATTGGAAGGAACTGGTAATATAATTTAATTTTCTGTTTGTCTTTCTTTGACAAATTTACATCAATATATTTTTTAGATACACAAATTGACATCAATACATAATCTATCTATTATATAAAGCACGTTTATATTAAACTGACGAAGTTGCTTTGCGTTAAAAAATCATTATTCTAATTTACAAAATTAGAGATGCGGTAATTTTTTAATAGTGGGATGAGAGTAACGGTCATTGTAACTGTAATAACGAAAAATGACGGTGGGTGGGGCCCAGTCGCTTTTTACAGGGAGCGGGTACGGATCCGGAGGACGTGGCAAAGATAAGGGAGGCGCTGCAAGCAGGGACGAGTTACTGTGGAAGATTACTGAATTACAAGAAAGATGGCACTCCTTTCTGGAACCTCCTCACCATTTCACCCATCAAGGACGACGATGGCCAAGTCCTCAAATTTATTGGGTTAGTTCCCTTTCTCTATTCCTAATTTCAATTTTAATTCGTGGGGCTGGTCGGGACCCCTCTTCTTATTTCTTTTTTTGGGTTCGGCCACCTGGGACCGAAAATAGACCCCTTTAGTTTTGGCACACACAAGGCGTTTGATATTTTACTGAAAGGGGGGAGAGCTTGATGAAGATGACAATGCCTGTGAATGGGGCTAATATCTTGTAGGAACAGACAATCCTTAGTATATGATGGGTCACTTCAAAGTAGTGTGCGTCCTTGGTTTATTGGATGTGTTGCTCAGAGTATATCATCTTCTTTCAAGTGAAAAATTATACTCCTCCGGTCCTTAATATAAAACCCATTTAACTAATTTGATTAGATTAAAAAAGTTAGGTAAATTAATTAATTATAAGAAAAGTGACACATTTTTACTAAAACATCATAATCATCTTTCTTAATACCCAATCTCCCCTTTCTACTTGATTATGGTTGAAGGTGTATTATAGAGGTAATTTAGAGAAAATTAATAAATATGGTAAATGGGTCTTATATTTAGGATTAAAACCAACTCAAGAATTAAGTCTTATATTAAAGACCGGAGGAGTAGCATATAGAGAGGTGCTTATCCAAATGGTTTTCTGTGCGCACATTAAAGATTTGCTTCTCTTTTTGGTTGAGGAAGCCTCACCATAATTGTTTAGAGGATTAAAGTACTTGCTTTTCACCTAAAACAGCTAACTTTATCAATCATACAAGGAATAGTCCTTTTCTTTCACAATTTAAAGATGTCTTTTTAGCTAAGTGCATATTTTGAGCGCAAGGGAAAAATTTCAATAAACCATATTGATGTGGGATCGTCGTCACTTTTAATACCATTCACGGAAATAATAGGTTGCATAGAATTTATGGGTACCTTAATCTCACTAAAGGGAAGGGAAGGGGGAGGGGGGAACCTGAACCGAGCTGAATGTAGAAGATTGCTCCTTGCAGCATCAAGAATCCCATTATTGATAAGAGCACGAGGCTGTGGATATATACTCTTATATTTTGAGCTAACGTTACGTGTTTGTCAATTCCTGCTGGCTAAGATTCAGACCTTGACATTGATTGCTGCGGGCCTTGATGTAACGAGACAGTGTAACACAAGTAAAACCTTACGCTTGTTAATGAACGGCGATTACGACATTTGTGTGGCATTATTAATTCAATAGTAACAGTAATACTGTGGGATGATTACTTATGCCTTATCTTTTGTGGGTGACTCTGACAGAATGCTAGTAGAGGTTAGCAAGCATACGGAGGGGTCCAAGGAGAAGACGCTACGTCCCAATGGATTACCCGAATCTTTGATTCGATATGATGGTATAGAATAATTGGACACATCTGATATTTTCCGGCTTCACTCCTAATGTCATGAAAAATCTTTCATTATGACGGTAAACTTTAATCTGGCTTCTCAAGAAATAACGGCTTTCCTGGAAGCTGCTTATTGAACTCTCCAGACAGGAAAAACAGATAAACATGAATGGAATGAAAGGAAACGACATGTCTATCTGATCACTAAATACTGATAGATCATGTTTCGGAGTTTGATGCGAAGAAATACTGATTAATAAAACTGGTGAATTATAAATATATAATTTGTTCAGTTGATTTTTTGTTTTTGAACAAAGTTCACTGGAAAAAAAGAAAAAGCATTGAAGCTGCTGGCTGCATGGATTTTGATATAGAATCATACAAAAAATTTACGGCCCAATAGAAAGGCGTAATATGTTTGCTTATTCCCGAGCTTTGAGAAGACTCTAAAGACTACTGAAACATAACCACGTCTTGAAGAGCGAAGATTTCAAGCTGTCTGAATCATGTGGCCACTAAGCATGTTTCAAACGAATTTTATAACCAAGCAAAAGTAAGAATATTACAGGCTTAACTATACTAATGACTTTCTATTACAGTTCGTCAAAAAGAGAAGGCTTCCTCTGCAGTATCTGAGTTAGTAAAGGCAGTGAAGCGGCCCCGAGCAGTCAGTGAATCAGGAAAACGTCCATTGATAAGAAAATCTGGAGGTGATGAAGAACATAAAGTAGAAAGTTTGCCAAGGAGGAAATCAGAGAGCGTTGCTGCATTAAGGCCAAAACCACATGGGGGGCGTCGAAATTCAATGCAGCAAATCAATGAGCTGCCTGAAAAGAAACAGAAAAATCGTCGTCGTTCTTTCATGGGGTATGATTATTCTTCACTGAGTTCGGCTCTCCGATTTTATAGTTTAATATGTCGTTTGCGTATGATTCGGTATCACCGCATTTTCTTCCTGTTCTTCAGGTTCATTAAAAAAAGTCAGCCCAATGATGAGAGCTTTGAAGACAATGAAATTGTGGAGGGCAGCTCAGGGAGTGAGGAAGAAGATGAGAGGCCTGATAGTATTGATGACAACAAACTAGCGCAAAGGGAGAAGCGAAAGGGTCTTGATCTTGCAACAACACTTGAGCGTATTGAGAAGAACTTTGTCATTACAGATCCAAGATTGCCTGATAATCCCATCGTAAGATTCTTCTTAATAGTTGATTACAATTACAACAGTGATACTATAAATTGGATTTGTTACTGGAGATGAAGACGTCTCACACGTAAGTGTTTTTGTATTTGTTATCCAGATCTTCGCATCTGATAGTTTCCTAGAACTCACCGAGTACAGTCGTGAAGAAATTTTGGGAAGAAATTGCAGGTATGTTTTGAAGTAATCTTCCATTAGCATGGGAATGAATATTAAAACAACAGCTCTTATACTAAAAAGCATGACACTGGAAATGGAAGCGTCCATGTATAATTTGAAAGTCACCTGCATTAATCTATGTGGTGATCTCAGGTTTTTGCAAGGGCCTGAAACTGATCCAGCAACTGTGAGAAAAATTAGAGAGGCGATTGATAACCAAACAGACGTTACGGTGCAGCTGATTAATTATACAAAGAGTGGTGAGCATTTTTATATCTCATAGGAGAGCCATTTCAATAGGCTTATCTCATTATATACTCTTGTTTTAGAATTTCCCTCTATGCCTGCAAATGAAATATAGCAATCTAACACTGAATTTCAACCAGGCAAAAAGTTCTGGAACTTGTTTCATCTGCAAGCTATGCGTGATCAAAAGGTATATGTCTTTTTTATATTCATTTGGAGGTGTTTTTTTAAATATCTTCTCTTGTGGATTGTGTTGGGACACATTGGCGCAATGTAATCCATACTATCGACCCCACCTACTGGAATAAAAATTGCTACTGTTGTTGTTTTTATATCTTCTTATGTGGCTTTTGTTCTGGGTCATTGTTGCTTTCCATTAACCTATAATTTCAACAGAGCCAAATTGAAACATTTATTCTATAATCTTAGCGATTTCTCTTTTCGTTCTTGGTTTAATAGGGAGAAGTACAATATTTTATTGGAGTTCAACTTGATGGTAGCCAGCATGTGGAACCTCTTCACAACTGTATTGCAGAAAACACGGCAAAGGAGGGAGAACAGTTGGTGTGGCCTCTTTCCAAGTGACATTAAATTAATTGTTAGGATCAGACATATTTACACATTCAATTAGAAGCTTCATATTTGAGAGTCTAAGATTGGCTGTGTTTTTCCAATGAAACTAATAGGCCTCTTTTATGACTAAAGAACAACATGCAAATGATTTTTTCTTGCACTATTTTTAAAAGTATCTTTTTTATATCTATTTTGCTTTGTTTTCCTCGTAGTTATATCGAGTTTTTCCCTCAGGTTAAACAAACTGCAGAAAATGTTGATGAGGCAGTGAGAGAACTTCCGGATGCGAATTTGGTAATGTATCTTACTGATCTTTTTTGGAAGAGCTTTTGAATTCAATTAGTGACAATAACATTAGATTGCCTGCAGACACCAGAAGATTTATGGTTAAACCACTCAAAAGTGGTCCTTCCAAAACCTCATAGGAAGGATAACCCTGCTTGGAGTGCTATCCTGAAGGTATTGCTATCATGTTGTAAACCATGCCATGCTTTCTTGTCTCTGAAGTTATTTATACTTATTAATGGAAGAAAGATTCAGGAGTTGAATGTACGACATTGCTCGTTTGAAATCTGTGCTGATCTACCTCTGTCTTTATTTTCCCATGGTTTTCATTGGCTCACCGAAAACCCATGACAATATTATTTGTATCCCTTTTTTTGTATTTAGTTGAAGATTTTATTTATTATGAGTTGGTAAGCATGACAAGAGAAACCCTTCTAAACCTATCTATGCTCTCATATAAGTATTTGGATATTCTTTCTATACACTTCTTTATCTCTTGCATGTTACATTTTGCTAGCTACTTATGTAACAATGATTTTGCAGATCCTGGAAAGTGGAGAGCAGATAGGCTTGAACCATTTTAGGCCAATCAAACCTTTGGGATCTGGGGACACTGGCAGGTTGTTTTCCAGTTTTTATTGTTCATTTCCCGACAATTTTAGGCCAGCTTGATTTGGTGGAATAAAGGTTAAATTCATCCCCCGGTAAAATGAATTATAACAGCCACTGGAGAGAGAATCAAAACTTCTAAGTGCATTTCTGTGGTATTTGGAAGATCCATCAATACTTATGAACTAGTGTTTCTTTTTCCCGACTGATAGAGAACAGTGTGCGAGTAATGGTAACATTATTTGCTAATGGTCGAAGACTTCAAAAAGGTTTTTCTAAAATTTTCGGCACTGGCATTTCTGTATCTAAAAGGAATATAGAGGAATTGTCCTCTGCTTTCTCTGAAAAATTTAGAGAGCTCACACTGTATAATCTTTGGTGAAAATTTCTTGACCAATACGGATAATAGGAAGTTTATTTCAATTCTGCTCCATGAGAAGATGAATTATCCTCTTGTTTGCTGGCTTGCAGTGTGCATTTGGTGGAGCTATGTGGAACTGGCCAATATTTTGCCATGAAGGCTATGGACAAGGGTGTTATGCTAAATCGCAACAAGGTAACGTACTACGTCATCATTTAACATTTCCTTTTGGTTATGTAGTTTAATTTCCATCCCTTAAAATTCGTGTCAATGACGACCTCCAAGTAAAATTTCTCTAAAACATTAAAATCTGTAATCAGTTCGATCTTTAACACTATCTATGTACTATGATTATGTGTTATTTCATGGTAAATACATTTATAGTGACACTTTACCCCTTTTTACCCTTATGGCAGGTGCATAGAGCTTGCACAGAGAGAGAAATCCTCGACATGTTGGATCATCCTTTTCTTCCCGCATTATATGCTTCTTTTCAGGTTTGAAAGTCCAGTATTACTCTTAAAAAATGCTTATTAATAATTAATGTTCAGATAAACTAGTAGGAGTATTTATCATGATTACTCGATCCCTTTTTCTGACGTCTATGTAGAGAATTGCAATGCCAATATGTATCAAGCTCTTCAACTTTCGTCTCTGCTTTATAGAGATGACTTCCCCCTGATTTTGTCATATTCCTTTTCCTAGCACACTCATTTGAGTAGCTGCAATCCAAGTTGTCAATGATGCCTACATGGCAGCTTTACTTTATCGATTTGACTGTCATCTATTTGCAGACCAAAACGCATATTTGCCTGATAACTGATTATTGTCCCGGTGGAGAACTGTTCCTGCTTCTAGACCGGCAGCCAACAAAAGTTATCAAAGAAGATGCAGCAAGGTAAATTATGCTACAAGTGAAAACAGTATTAATGCCAGGCTCTTTTATTCATCATTGCCAACTTTTAACGCTGATAATCATTTTACAATTCTTGAACTTATATTTCTATATTGGCCTCGAACTGACATGATGCGGTAATGATTATAGGTTTTACGCTGCTGAGGTTGTGGTTGCCCTGGAGTACCTTCATTGTCAAGGTAGGCTCTTATTCGTTATTAACCTTTGTATGATTACCCATTACAAGATGATAATTTCTGCTGTTACCTTCACAATTTAACTAAAAAAAAAAAAACTTTTGGTCCAAAAGAAAAACTCAAAAAAACTGTCTTATAACTCAGGAAATTTTTAGTGAACATTATTTTTCTACTGAAACTTCAATAAACTTACCAGTATACAACTATTTAATTATTTATAGTTGTGGCAGAAAATTTCTTATCAAACTGAGGCATCAAACATTGCCCTTTGGACAATTCTGTGAACGTTTTGCTCCTAAAACAAAATTCCCTCCTTGCAAAGTAGGTTCTGTGTGCATGTTATCACATTTCATAGTTAGACCAAAATCGAAATTATATTATTTGGTAACAATTTGTAGGAATAATATATCGGGATTTGAAGCCAGAGAATGTATTACTCCAGAGCAACGGGCATGTGTCTCTGACAGATTTTGACTTGTCATGTTTAACATCCAGCAAACCACAGGTATCTTGGTGTCAAGAGCTTCGGATTATGCAGTTCTTAATTGTATTAGAAGCAAAACTTTTTAACCCTTGACTGTCGTAACAACTATGCCTGATTTCCCTCATTTGCAGCTTTTAATTCTACCTTCAAATGAAAAGAAGAAACAGAAGGGACAACAAACTCCAATATTTGTGGCCGAACCTATGAGAGCTTCAAATTCTTTTGTTGGCACAGAAGAGTACATTGCTCCGGTTTGTGACTTCTGGACATTAAGATGCAAACAAATATTCAAAATATGCATTTGTTACGTTAGTCCTGCTCACGAATAATTTTCAACAAAAAATCATTTTTCACTGCTTAATTTCTGAAGTTTATGAAGCAGATGTTTCAATTGCATAGATTATGTCTGCCTCATTGTAATTGAAAGTTCAATACGTTGTGCAGGAAATTATAACTGGTTCAGGCCATACTAGTGCTGTGGATTGGTGGGCTCTTGGTAATTGCTAACGGTTAAATTTATAACAAATGAAGGAGACTAAATCAGTTTTCTAAATTTCAACCACATAAGAAGAAAATTGAATGCATTTATATATGTCCTGAAGGGACACGTGTAGGTTTTCGCAGGAAAAATATGAGACGGGCATATTTGAAAATTATGAACCCCATAAAGACTGACTTGATTGCTCTCTCTCTGTTTTTTTTTTTTAGGCATTCTTCTGTATGAAATGATGTATGGATATACACCATTCAGGGGGAAGACAAGGCAGAAAACATTTGCTAATATTCTTCACAAGGATCTTAAATTTCCCAAAAGTAAACCGGTGAGATAACTCTGCCGAACAAACCTATAAATTATTCTCATTCGATGCATAAAATTTTCACGCCGGTACGATATATGATGCCTTTTTGGTCCCGCCAGTCGGAAAATGCATGCTTGTGAAAGAATTCGTCGAATTTATTGATCAAGCTGTCATCAATGCAACTTGTTATGTTTGATGCTACGAACTGTTATTCTGGTGTGGCTTACGTTCTTTAAAGTCACCAGAGTGTCTATATATTCATACTTCCGAGTCCATTTTTGACACGATTGATAACCGGAACAGAGCAGTTATTGAAAGATTGACGATAAAATTATATGATAATATTGTTCGTGTTAATTAGCATTTAGTTATAATGCAGGTAAGTCTCCATGGAAAGCAGTTGATACACAGGTTGTTGCACAGAGATCCCAAAAACCGATTGGGCTCACAGGAAGGAGCAAACGAAATAAAGCGGCACCCATTCTTCAAAGGTGTCAATTGGGCCCTCGTTCGTAGCATGGTAACATGAATATAACGTTGAACCTTCAATTTCAACCTCTGGTTTCGATCTTTCATTTTTGATGGTCACACTCTGATGAGATAAGTAAACAATTAATTCTGTTGTTATCAGAACCCTCCTGACCTGGACGCTCCTCTCTTCCGGGCAACTGAAGATGAGAAGGAAGTCAGAATTGTTGATCCTGCACTGGAGCAACTGCCAACAGATTATTTCTGAAAGGTTTCTCTATCTGTTCTACCCTCCGCTTGAGCCTAGTTACGCTATTTTATTAACCAGTAACTTTCTGGGTTTGTAGATTTGAGCTTGAAAGATATACCTCTATCAAGAAACACATGATGTGCCTTCGAGTTGTTAAGCAAAGGAATTTTATTCTAGTCGTAGGCAAGGCCTTAAGTCTCTCTCTCTCTCTGTCTCTCGGTAATTTATAAATAGTTTGAATGGAATGCTTCTAATTTGCCTGGTAAAGTTGTAAATATTTAGCCATGTTTTACTCCCCTGTTCTCTCTGCACCATACATTACTCAGAAATAGCCTTTGATAGCACGCGTAAGATAAGGTAAAGCTTCCGAAAAAACAGTGTTGCTAAAATGTAATGCGGAGGGAAGGATTTGATAGCGATATTCCAAACTTGCCACCAAAGCCTTGAACCTAGCAAACGCCTTCAACGTGTATCTAAAACCATACTATCTTGAAAGAAGTTTCACGTTTATGCCAAATATAATAACATCCCAAGAATTTTCGAATTATAGAAGCAATTTCAATTATCAGAAACCGTTGACATGGGTAAAGATGCGAAGTTACAGCAACTAGTCTTAGTTTTCTGCTCAATTTCAATGAAAGTAACTAATCAGTAGGTATTAGAGCCCATGCCAAATGATTAGTCGAAAGAGAACTTGAAGTTTGCTTGAATTTGGGATTGGAGGGAACATGGGAATGATGTAATCTGATTGGGAAGCTTTCCATCTACCACAATCCAAGCCATCATCTGATCGGGATTGATTACTGTCTCAGACAATCTCAATACTCATTGTTCATCGAGACGTCATGATACAGATTCTGCTACGCGATATAATATCAGACTTTAATTTAAATAGATGTAGTATAAAGTGTTTGATAAGGTGGGGTTCTGTTTTGAAGTCACTGACCGATGCTTGGTAGCAGAATAGCATTAGCCATAGAGATGAAGAGGAGAGTTCATGGCTAATAGTATCAACTAAAATATGGCTCCACTGATTCAGCAAATTCACGCCAAAACGATTGGATGATCGCAAATGAGACTGGTGAATGAATCCCAAGACACTCCAGTACCATAACAATATGACAGCATCCATATCTAAGAATGTACAGGTGCTAGCCGTATGCAGCGACCCGTAGCTGTGAAGTGTGATTGTGAACTGTGATCATCAAGGTCGTTCTGCAATCAAAATTCAATAATGGGGCCTTGAGATTTGCACTTTGATGTAGAAAGATGAACATGCTTGACTTTCACACAGAAAAAGACCCAAGTGCTTCTCATCAATCCTTCCAAATCCTTGTTCACTGCAATTATACGCCAACCTTCCACTACTAGGATTAATGTTTTTCGACCGACAATGACCGTTTTTGTGGAATATTTAGCTTAAAGATCATAGTTCGGCTTGACACGACGTCTCTCATTATTTTTTATCATTCCAAAATGTGTATGAAGATTGGTTGAAGGTGAGTGGCTTGCCAAATATCGTGCATTGACATCCCAAGGAGAAAAGATCGGTTTCAAATCGAACTTGCAAGATATTAGAAAGGAAGACATAGTTGCGGAGATGACAGGTTAAAATGACACGTCTGTATCCATTTCCCATTTTCTTTCATCCATCTCTCTCTCTCTCTCTCTCTCTCTCTCTCTCTCTCACACACACACACACACACACACACACTAGTGAAAGCTATCAAGCGTTATCATGATTAGATGATCACGCATTTCAATCTCTAGGAACTTGACGCAGAAAGGTCAATGTTCAAACGCATTATTCTGGAAGGGATATATAAAAGAGTTCATGTTTGATTTCTCTTGATGTCTGTGTCAGTTGATGTTACTGCTACTCCTTCGATAACATGTTTTTACAAGTGAAACCAAATGAATGGATGCCATTTCTTTCGTGAACAGTCAGTACTGGTCCCAAAAGATCGCCGACCATATATTCATAGATTTATCACCAAAGAACTAAAAATAAAAAAGTGTTGACAAAAATGAAGGGAAATTGATAGTTTATCAAAGCATTGGCGGAAAAGGAGAGAAGAATCTAACGTGAAGATGAAGAGGTTAATGGAAAGAGCATATAATTGATTACAATGAATGTGATGAACAAAACTAATGAGGAGGAGCTGATGCCGGAATAAAGAGACGTTTATAAGCGTAATTACAACATGTATATTGATTAGAGTACTGCGTGCTGAAACATCGTTGTCAAGGGATGGAAGAGGACTTGGGACGTGAAACTGATGTACAGGCAGAGAGTAAAGTGGAAGGTATGATAGAAAGGTCAAAGAGGGCATGATGGAGGAGGAGAAAATGTTGAAAAGTTAGGGATAAGAGAGCTCTATGGAAGAAGCGGGTGTTATAGGGACATATACCAGTTTTGTTGTCTCTGATTCATTGGCAATTCCGTCCTCACATGCACGCCTTTTCTCTCTTCTTCCCTTGTTTCGCTCCCTGTATCTATCAAACTCTCTCACACACACATGTATGTACTGTTTATATTTTGCATGTGTGAATTCAGGGTATTCCTGATCACTTTTAATTTGAGATCAATTTCCATGATGTCAAAAGCATTTGAGATTAAAACTCTCCTAAAAAATAACATTTTCGGAATTCAAAGAACTTGTTGGCGCTATTGCTTATATTTTAAAACACTGAATTCATACATATATTATCAACAAGATAAATTGAACCAAAGGTGAATATAATTGAGAGGATAGAAGAGATGTTGGGAGCAGTGACAAGGATACATCAATTGGACCAGAATCGAACTGCCAAATCTGATAGCAATGGGAACCACACCTCCATATTTTGGTACCCCGTTGGCAACCTTCTCTCTCTCTCTCTGTTTACTTACATTGTGCATCCCACTGTTCTTCTCTCTCAACTCCTTTCCTTCATTCACTGTTTCTATCACTCCAACACATGCCTCTCCCTTTTCCTTTAGAGATTCCATATTCTGATGAATCTGGACCCCATTCTCCTCCATCTTCAACTTCTTACATCATTCATTTTAGTAAGCCTTACCCCCCCACCCTTAATGTCTCCTTCAGCGCAATTGTCCCACCTTAATTAAAGCTAATGATTCTTAATTATAAGTAGTTAATTACAGGATTAATTAGCAAATGATCGGGTCTAGAAGAATGAAGAATCTATATGTATGTAATGTATGATGAATAATGATTAAGAGTCACATGCAGTGCAGGAGATGTGAGGGGAGAAAGTGGTGGTGGCCGGTGGGGGCCGGATTCCAAAGGTGCAGCGAGAAGAAAGCAAGTTGGGTACGATTTGATGAGCCCACGTCTGACAGGCAATATGACATATTTGCTACAAAAACTTTGGGACCACCTCTTTCAAAGTGCCTACTCCTCCCTATTCATTAGTACTCCTCTCCATCTTTGACCGTTGTTGTGCTGAGCACTTTGAGTTACAGGCTTACAGATTCCATTTCCTTTTCTAAATTATTCCCAACGAAAATCCCACAATATATCCTTCCAGCCCCTACGTACCTTTTTTGTGTCTGCTCTATCCAGTTCCAGTTCAAGTGCAAGAGGATAAGCACAGATTGCTTTCCATTGGGTCTCCGGCCTTTCTTCCTCTGGTTACTAGTTTCATGTTTCCTATGGAAGCATTATTTAATGCCAATATTAGACTGAGATCTCACCCCAAAAAAAAAAACAATTATAAATGGCAAAGGAAAAAAAAGGTTCATGGGCGGGTTGGCTCCGACGCTAACAATCATGGGAACAGGCTTTTTTTTATAAAAAAAAAAAATCCACTGGGGAATTTGATGATATTTGTTCTAAATTTATTCACACCCAAGTTTTTGAGGATATAATTCTTTTTTTATTTACAATTTTTCTGTGTGATAATTTCCCCTTATTCAATAGTCCGACTTTTTTGCCAAAAAGAATTGTCCGAATAAAAACAGCAAGGTCAACGCTTCTATATAAAGTATGACGCTTACTCCACGTCATCCCTCTAACTCCCCTCTCTCTCTTCTGCCCTTTTTGTATTTTTCCCTTTTATTTTATTTTTGGAATCCCCTGTCACCCGGGGGGCTATTATATAATATATATTTATATACCAAATAAACTCGTCTTCTCCCACACACACTTTTACTCATACACCGGTATAGTTCTCGTTCTCTGGGTCGCTCCTCACTTTTATTCTTGCTTCAGTTAACCACGTCCATTCAACCCCGTCCCTCCCAAGTCCCAACACGTACACTCCATGAATCACACTGTCACCAGATTCTCCCGCGCTGCCGACTTCCCCGGAACATGTTGCCTGAGGCCGGCTCAGCTCCGACAAAGGGTTTTCAGTGCCAACCGGAGTCGGAGGTGAGCCACAGCAGTTGCAGCAGTGGGTGTAGCGGCCATGGATCGCCGACTTCTCTCATGAGTTGCCAAGGCGTGTTTCAGAGGAGCATAAGCAGCCATTCTCTGCAGAGGACTGAGGCCCACCACCCCGTTTCAGCTTTATTCGCAGACTTGCTGGAGGAGGCCCCGGTGAGAAAAGTTTACAGTGCCGGTGATTTGCAGGTGCCTTTTCCGATTATATTTTCTGATAATAACTAATTAGTTATGACGAGCTAAACTGCTTTGTTGTCTTCTCATGTTTTTTTCCCTTGAAAAAAAGTGAATCAATTCATGACAATGAGCACGTGTTGATTATAACGAAACAGAGGATGATGAATGTATTGCGAAACCATCGGCGGTCGGAAAGTCCATTGCGGAGCGAAAGTAGTATGATCATCGAAGGAATGAGCAGAGCGTATCCTTATGGCCCGGAGGAGAAGAAGGTGAGGATTGAGAGATACAGAATCAAGAGACATAAGAGGAACTTCAACAAGAAAATTAAGGTTTGGTCACTCCTCTTATATATATGTGCATGTGCGAGAGAGAGTGTAAACATGAGTTTAGTTAGAGAAAGAAAGAATAAGAAGTAATATGACTGTGTACGTTGTTGCAGTATGAATGCAGGAAGACGTTGGCGGACAGCAGGAGGCGCGTCAGAGGAAGATTTGCAAAGAGGGAAGAAAGTGAGAAGAAGAGAGATGTGATAGAGAATGAGAGTGGAGAAGAAGAAGATGAAAATTGGGACAGTTTTTTTGAAACATTGGTAGATGCAAATCTTGTTCAGGAACCATGAGGCCTCTCCTATTGGTGCTGACTTGCTGAGTGAGCACTCCTAAATTTGATTGCATTGTCATTCTTCCTCTTTCGCTTGTCGGATGGGCTGCACCTTCGTAGCAGTCAATGTCAGTAATATAGTAGTAAGATGTAAATACAAGGGTCAACCTTTTGTTACAGTTTAATGTCCATTGACTCCTTTAGTGCCCTTTTTACTTTTCTGTAGTCTCAGCTCCACATGGAGTGGAATGTATCGTCTAATGCTGTTATTGAATGATGCTCTTTTATAATTTTCAATCAGAAAAGACTTATTATTATTATTAATTATTAATAAAAGAACTTTATTGATTACTCCTGAAAAATATTAAAACATTTTATATTTTAACATAAAAAGAGTTTTGAACAGAGGAGTATTTCCTCTTGCACTCATTAAATTTAGAGGTAGACAACAATTAGATCCCGGGATTCTGTCTCTAAGTTCCCTCATGCTTCGTTTACATGATTCACAGTAGCATGTTATAATTGCATTTAAGGTAAGTAAGAGAAAGATTTCCCAGGTATGTTCGTATAATAAAACTTTCAAAATCAAAAAACGCAAGAGGTAATTAAATTAAATAATTTTTGAAACTTGATATCGGAGTCAAGATATTCACTTGATTTGGTCTGAAACAATCAATTATATAAAAGAGGCGGCGCAATATTTAGGTTATACTACCGCTAATAGGGAGAAGATTCAAAAGAGATACAGAGGGCGGTTTAGTTTAGTGGAAGAAGTGGGAAGTGCAAGTGAGGTCTTTTCATGAGATGGTTTGCTTTTGAATCTGAGGTGTGAAAGCTCTCCTTCATAACAAACGCCGACAGGTGAATACTTAATAGGAATGTGACTAAAATCAAATATTGCTGCCAATTTTATCTTTTAGGGTGTGTTTGCTACGATGGATTTGGAGGAGAGAGGAGGAAGGAGGAAGGATTTTAATTATTTTTCTTTGTTTGGCAACACACAAATTTTAGAAGGGGAGTCCTCAACCTTCCCTCTAAAATTGAGAAGATTTGGAGGGAAAAGACAATATTTTACCATGTTGTGACCATTATGCTTATATTTTGTCATGTGATGACCATTATACCTATATTTTAAATAAAATAAGGACGAAATTGTTCATGTCAAAATATTTTTTCCTCCTCTTTCCTCATGAATCAAACAAGATAATATTAAAACTCATCTCCTCCCCTCTTTTTTTATAAATCCAAATAAGATAATATTAAAATCCTTCCACTCTCCTCCTCTCCCCTTCCCATCATTAAAATCCCTTCCTTTCCTTTCTTTTTATTGAGTCAAACAAATCTTTAGTTGAGGCTTGGCCTAAATCCTACAAAAATTATTAGAAGACTCCAAAAATTAAATGTAATTACTAAAAAAATTATACAACAAGCAAGTATAATGAATCTATTATCTTCTTTTTTTTTTCATCAAATTATCATTACATGTTGCTCGCTTGTTGTGGGGTTTTAGTACGTAATTATATTTTCTTCATGAGACCTAATTTTTCCAAATATGTAATGTGTATTTTTTTTTGTCTTTTTAATAAATTGTTTTGCTATAAAGTTATATTGCTGCCAATTTTAACTATTTTTTCCTGTTATGCAACTCAAATTCGCAGCCCCCTAATTACTCGTCAGTTTCGTCCTACCCATGGCTTAGTCTTTGGGTGTTCCATTATGCCTGAGGACATCGCCAGTCCCCACACATGCAAGCGTCCAAATTAAAGTCATTCTAATTTCTATCTCCGCCTCCAACGCTGCTAAGTCCCCCAATCTGATTTACACCTCTCAACTTCACTCTTCTATCCTGAAAAGGTGTTTATGAGCCAAACCACAAGGATGATGAGAGGTTCTCGCCTTCTCGGCTGCACGACAAACAACGGGCATTTCGGTTTCAGACTTTCAGGCATTCCCTATCACCACAGTGATTTTAAATGTCAACTTGCTTCCTCTTTACATTCTATCACAAACAATACTTTATAGGGTAACAATTTTAATAGCCAAAAAGGAAGAAGAATAAGAGCCCAGTGATCATAACTCTATCGTGAGAGGAGACATAAAAAGTGATGGTGGAAATTTAAACATATTGACTTCTTCCAAATGATTCCATGGAGTACCATGCCTTTCCGCCTCCTCAAAGATGGAATCCTTGGAAGCCCTCTCTAATTCCCAATGGGATTGGCTTCATCTCCCCTTCCCTCGCACTAAACGCAAGAATCATCTCTCATCCAACTTCTTCCCTCTCCTTTCACATTGGGGGGTGTTTGGCAAAACCAAAACCTAGGTTTCAGAATCACTTTTTCGCAAAACGAGATAACCTCCTCCACATATTTACTTTATAATCCGTAAAAGCACTTCTGAAACCATGGTTTGGTTTCTATCCAAACACCCCCCAAATGTGACTTGTTAAGTAATACAAGTTTATCAAACTGATTTTTTTTCCAAAAGTCAATCCAAATATTAACATTTTGAATATATAAAAATTAAACCAAAAACATGCAGTTGTTCCCACATATTAACCAGCCCTTGTGAGCCGTAAACTATCCTGATAACAGGATTTTGTCACCACTAAATAAAATGGATATACTATTATAAGAAATTTTTTTTCCTGAGCTAGAAACTGAAATTTTACCTTAAGTCTTGGCCAATAAATAATAATAATTGAAACAATAAAAAAGTAAAGGGAAAATGAATCACAATCATCTCATCCTAGTTCTACTTGTTATTCTTTGAGCTTTCTTCTTAAAAGGCATTGGATTCGATAATCGCTTGAAAGGTGATAGATGCATCCCGCCTGTTGTCCCCCGCTTCACTCTAGATTTATCTAAAGATAATGACAACGTAAAAATGCAGAACATCAGTGTCTTTGTTTCACAAATAATGTTCAAGATGCAAGATATTGATTATCGGTGTTACAGGAAAAACTAAATTACTTATATGTGTTGCAAGTGAATAATCATGAATCACTTATAACCTGCATATCAAGAAGAAATGCGTTTCTACTCAGAATTGTCCACCTGCAAAGACTTCTTAACTTGAATGTAGAAGAGCAGGTCTGATTTTGAAAACCAACTTTTTCGATAACTCAGCATTGTGAAAAGAACACATCAAGATAATTTTCTCAAGTTGCAAGATCGCATAAAGCAATATGATTATGATCCAAGGAAGCATATGGAGGAAACGATTGGAAAAATATGCACAGGACTCCCGTATGATGGTAAGAGTTGACACTTGATCAAAATAGAAAATATAATTACACACACACACACACACACACACACACACACACACACACACACACACACACACACATTTCAAAAATAGAAACCAAAACTTAAGTCTAGGGATACCTGGCATAGACTGGACCTTGCCATGCTGATGAGAAGTACAATCGTCCACATGCTTTTGATCATCTGTTGTTATATCTGTTGCAATTGAACAATCATCCATTTTGACCTCATTAGATGTTTTTTGAGACATCTCACCAAGGTCAACTGCTTCGGATCCATGTCTTTTAAATTGTTCATCTACCATTGAAGTTTCGCATATAGATTGGTTCATCTCCAAGGTCGTAAGCTCTCCTATTACAATATCCTGCTTCGGTAAAGCTTCCTGAATTTTGGCAATCCCTGCATTCAAATTGATGTCAGAGGCTATATTAATCTCATTCTAATTATATGCAGCGGCAGGAAAATCACGGTAGATTGGGTTAAGATTTCTTATTTACCATTGATATTGTGTATGTCCTCTAGTTTGACATCTACTGAAGATGTGTCCGGTTTCTCATTCTCCTCTGGTATTATACCATCCAATGCAATATTTGAGATGCATTTATCTGACTGATATTCATATGTATTCGCTTTTAAATAGGTGCGATTTTCATCTAAATAATTTAGACATTTAAGCTCGAACTCTGTACCAGAGGGCGGAGTCTTTATTTCTTTAGTGACTTTAAAAGCTTCAGAAGAGCCCTTCGTACAACTTTGCATTGTGAGATTGTCACAGCTGGAAGCATGATGTACTGCTGGAGCATCAGATAATCCCTCATCTGATTCAAGACAAACATCAAGAGTGGTTGACTGCTCGGCTGGGTTGTTAAGCACAGCTGTTGATGGAGTTACTTTTTCAGTAACATGCAGGGAATTATCATTACCATCTAGGAAGGTAGGGGCAGAATTACTAGCAGATAAGAAATCCCCGACTTGAAAACCATGAGATGGTATGCTGCAAATTGCAGACGCAAAGTCAATGGCTTTCGTAGTTTTTGATGCATCTGACTTGGCCCTGTCCTCCAACAGCAGATCACCTTCACCACTGGAGATAGGATCCCAATTAAATAACTCTTTATGCCAAGCTTCTTCAGACTTAGATGCTGCACCTACAACTTCTACTTTTATTGCCCCCTTGTAATATTGCTTTTTCCTCAAAGATTTTGTTAGAAGAGTCCTGCAAACCATTTGAATGATATACAATATACCTTAAACAAAGGAATCAGGTGCTTTAAAGGTTTTGGCAAGCAGTCATACTCATACCTACAATTTGTAGAAATAGCTGCTTTAGCTTTCTCCATGGAAAGCCCAAGTAACGACGACAAATTAGCAACATCATAGGGCCCTCTTAGTTCATTAGCAGAAGGAGCAGCACTTGATAGGATGATGTTTCTTCCTCGAGTCCAATCCACCAACAACTATATGTTCAATCAGATTGTAGGTTTACCATTCTTGATAATTTCGGCATGAATGAGTAAGATAGGAGCATATGATTTGAATTCCAACACTAGAACAAAAAACGAACTTCCATGTCTAGATAATATTTCTAGGTCTAGCCGCTTAAAAGTTGAAACTCAGGAAGAAAATTAAACGGCTTTATTCATCTGCAAACTGAGCCTAATGTATAAGCCTGCAAAGTATAAGTGGCATCCAGTCTTCCCTATGCGAGTTTAACAAACCTCTTGTAGAATATGAATGGTGTGTGAGACTCATAGAAGAAGAGAAAAGATGGCAACACTTCCTTTCACATCCTTTAATCCAATAGAAACAAACCCACCACTCTTGAATGTCCAAGCAAGTTTACTTAATGGAGCCATATGACAAAGTGATCAAAACCGACGTAAGTCATAATAAATTTTTTTTTAAAAAAAAAGCATAATAAAGAATAAAAGCGGTCCAAATCTTCTAGCATTTAGTAATTTAGTCATTGGAATATGTAATAATATAGAGGGTCGCTATTACCTTAGCATTGCATATCAACTGCCTCCTTATCTGAGGGTCCGTGATTAGACCAGAGTAAATGATTTCAAAACAAACTCCCCGCTGCATATCAATAAGCCTTATGTTAATTTAGATGTTGTGAGGACCATTCAAATGCTCTTCTAATTTTTAAAAGAATAAAAATTAAAATTAAAACGAAAGAAGTATAGTTGAGGGCAAACCTCAACAGCTGCTTTGACCATAGGATGCTTCAATCTAAAGGGCAACTTGCCAGAGAAATCCATCGAAATGATATCTACCTACAATAACTTTAAATATCAGAGTTCACTCTCCGGATTTTCAGTTGTTACTAGATAGCCATCGTTAGCATTATCTTTGATACTTTATTTATCTCTCCTTTAACGAATGCCTTTTAGTAACTGTAACAAGACTAAAATTGATCAAACGCAATATACTATTTCCCTGTGACTAACACAATTATGAAGAAGGGGCGCAGAAAAAGGAATTATACATTTTTGTTTCCAAGCATCATGCGTCAGAGAGCAAACGAAATATAACAAACCTCCATTCTCTCACACGCTTGATCAAACACGGTCTGATTCAATGGCCTAACAGCCACCAAATCGTAGGTCTTCAAAATGGGATTTCCCGAATTGAGGGCCTGAGCCTGCGATGGGTTGTCTGCACAAACAGTGAGGCGCGTATACTGACGGAACGGGGCAGCCGACGGGATTCCTAGAACGTCACGGTGGAGCTTAACGGACAGGGAAAGAGAAGGAGCAACCTTGAGAAGAGACGAGAGGGTGAGGAGAGGGATGCAGCAACGGTGGCTATCAGACATCACACCCTTGATCGTACGGTTATAAGCGATTCCCGTGTAGCCTAACTCCATGGCCTTGACCACAATCTTTGTCCGTTGTCTTTGAAGAGTGGCCTTGTCAGTCAGCGAGGGTTCTAAATACGGTATATTAAGGTCGAAGAAACCCATGTCTCTTCCCAGCACTGAAATTATTTGCTGTTATACTGAATAAAGAATTGTTGTCAATCTCAAAGTAGCTCTCCTTCGCCCTCTTTGCCCAGACCAACTGTAAAATAGGTTTTAAACTTGCCCGTGTAGCCTGAACAGCTTTCCGTGCATTCCGTGTCTATCATCAAGTAAAGCAGAATAAACTGAAGCATTGGCTATATTTATACAACACAGTAGTTCTCGGACAGAGTTGACAACCTTAACTCTGATCTGAGATCATTTGAACGACCAACGGTGGTTGACGCGGGTGGTCGGTGGTGAGAAAAACAGTGCGCCGCCTTGCGAGGCGGAAAGAGGGGAGCGCGCGGATGTGCCCAGGCAACAGAGGCGCCCCCCACAAAAAGAGGTTATTATGCGTGCTTTTTTTTAATTAATGAGGATTAATATCATCTCATGTGCCTCGGGTTTTTTTTTGTCCAACAAGTTTTAAATTATAAAATTTAATCTCTTAAAAATAAAATGATCTAAATTTTTATTAGACCATAAAAATTAATATTTTAAATAAAAAACTTAAAAATTAAAACTTATATTTTAAATTTAAAGAATTAAAACAAAAATAACAAAAAACTTAAAGAATCAAAATTTATATATAGTATATCTTATAATTTTTTAAGAGTTCTTACAATTTTTTTTATTAAAAAAAAAATGAATGCATACTCTAAAACAATGTTAACATTTCCGGGCCAAAAAAAAAACAATGTTAACATTTTACAACATTAAATATAAAATTTATAAAAAGATATACTACGTAGTATTCATTTAGTTATAAGGGTTCATATAAATTTTGTTCCTTTAAGTTTGTTCTTATTTTAGTTTTTGTCTTTTAAATTTTAAACAATAAGTTGTAGTTTCTCAAGTTTCCTTTCTTCCTATAATCTAATAAAAACTTAGATTATTTCATCTCTAGAAAAACCAAAATCTATTATTTAAAACTTAAGAAACAAAAATTGAAATGAAAACAAACTCAAAGGATTAAAAATTTTATTAACCATATTTATAAAGCAAAAGTTATGGGACTCCAATTCTGCCATAAATTTTTAAGGCTCAAAATTACTTTTAAGGCTTGTATCATTTTTAAATATCATTTCAATTCTTTTACACTTTGAATACAATTTAATTTAATTTTTTTAATGAATGAATGTAATTTAAAAATAGAAATTTAAATTTAAACATTAAACAATAGAAAGGTTTTAATTTTTAAGAAAAATAACAAATAAAGACCTTTAAATTACCAAAATTACAAGGTCACCTAAATAAACCAAATTGTCAAGAAGAACCAATCTCAAATTGTAATTATGAAATCAAGCTAAAAAGACAAAAATGTCATTGTTCTCTTTCTTCCATCACCCTAGCTCTTTCTCTTTCCTTTTGCTCTTTCTCTCTGTCTTCGTCCTTCTCTCCCTCTTCATCTCCCTCCCTCTCTTCTTCCTTCTATTCCTCTCCCTCTTAAAAACATTCATCTCCCGCTTGTGCATTTATCAATATCATTAAAGTTGTGGCAATTCCCACCAATCTTTAATACAAAAAAGATGGTGACTCATCATTAATGCCAGTTGATGACTTTCAACTTTTATTTCCATATATGTTTTTCATATAGTGTTGTTCGATTGTCGAGAATATTGTCTTCTTTTTGTTTACTTGTATTTGGGAATCGATAATCTCCTCATTTGATTCAGAGTTGCTGGTTACTGTCAAAACACCTCTGGTTTTTTGTTATTTGATTTACTATTGTTGTAATTTTATTTAGTAGTGTTGTAACTGCAAATTGGTTAGTTTGGTCACAGTAACATGATATGACAATATGAAAATGTTGTATTTTGTTTATGGGCAGAACAAATGTTAACATTTAGTATTTATAGTTGTAAATGGTATCAATGTAGATCCATTTAATGTTCTAAAATTCATGACAAGGTCCTCATAGACTTATAATTTTACTTATCACAATTGTCATTTAGCTTTCCACTCTTGTCAATTAATTTTCATAATTTGTTATTCGCCTTACTCAACTTATCATAAATTACATATCAGAACTTGTCATTTGCAAAATAAATATGAAAATTCTATCATTTGAAAATAGAAAATTAAATTTGTATGAATTGTTTATTAGGAGCTGTCATTTACCTTACTAAACTTGTTATTCATCTCATTCAACCTATCATTCGTCAAGCAATTCATATTCAATTTGTACAATTCCTTAACGAATGACTATTTTAGTAAAGCAAATGACAACTTCTGATAAGCATTTCATACTAATTTAATTTTTTCTTTTCAAATGACAATTTCTAGATTTATTTAGTAGATAAAGAGTTCTGATAAACAATTTACGATAAGTTTAGTTAGGCAAATAACAATTTTAGTAAGGCAAATGACAACTTCTGATAAGCATTTCATACGAATTTAATTTTCTTTGTTCAAATGACAAAATTTTCAGATTTTTGTAGTAGGTGACAAGTTCAGTAAGGCAAATGATAGAATTTTTGTGTTTCTATCGCTGCATTTCTGTCACCACATTTCTAATTAAGTGGACAACGTTAAATAACTCTATATTGTTACAATATAAAACTGATTAACAAAAAATGTTAACATTCCTCTGCACAATATAAAAAGATCATAATTATCAGATTGTCATGCGTTACTATCACTGCATTGTTGTCATAATAGTTAAAAGTCTGCATTAACAGCACTAGCAAGCAAAATTACAATAATGGTGATTGTTACATTTCCTCCCATATATTTAACTTCCCATTCATCACTTGCTTCAAAATATCCACCAACGTGGACGTAACGTAACAAATTCTGTGTTTCTGTCACTGCATTTCTTTCATCATAAGATAATTGTTTTTTACTTTAGAAAATCACAACTTAAGTATAATGTATGACAAGTTAAGTATATCCAATTATAACTTTGTTTATTTACAGATTTTTTTGGTGAATGACAAGTTTAGTAAAGCGAATAACAATTTCTGATAAGCAATTCATAAAAATTTAACTTTCCCTTTTCAAATGATAGAATTTTCATATTTCTTTAGTAGATGACAAATTCTGATATGTAATTTATGACAAGTTGAGTAAGGTGAATAACAAGTTATGAAAATCAACTGACAAGAGTGGAAAGCTAAATAACAATTGTGATAAGTGAAATTATAAATTTGTGAGGAGGTTTGTCATGAATTTCAGAACATTAAATAAAGCTACATTGATACCATTTACAACTATAAATACTAAATTTTAACATTACTCTGCCCACAAACAAAATACCAATATTTTCAAATTGTCATGCCATGTTGTTGTGACCAAACTAACTAATCTGCAGTTACAACGCTATTAAATAAAATTACAACAATAATAAGTCAAATAACAAAAAACCAGAGGTGTTCGACAGCAACCAGCAACTTTGAATCAAATGAGGAGATTATCGATTCCTAAATACAAGTAAACAAAAAAAGACAGTATTCTCGACAATCGAACAATACTATATCAAAAACATATCTAGAAATGAAAGTCGAAAGTCATCAACTAGCATTAATGATGGGTCACCGTATTTTTTGTAATAAAGATCGGTAGAAATGACCATAACCTTAATCATATTGATAAATGCATAGGCGAGAAATGAATGCTTTTGAGAGGGAGAGGAATAGAAGGAAGAAGAGAGGGAGGGAGATGAAGAGGGAGAAAAGGACAAAGACGAAGAGAAAGAAAAGAAGGAAAGAGAAAGAGATGGGATGATGGAAGAAAAAGAATAAGGGCATTTTTGTCTTTCTAGCCTGATTTTATAATTACAATTTGAAATCGTGTCTTTCTTGGCAATTTGACTTATTCAGGTGACCTCCTCGTAATTTCGATAATTTAGGGTTTTTTTTTGTTATTTTCCCTCATTTTTATAAAAACATTTTAGAAATTTAATTTACTGTCTTTCAAATATACTATTTTAATTTGAAAAAATGATTAAAAAAATAAAAATTACTAAATTTTAAATTAGGTTTGATAACAACCTTTTATTTGATATGGACAATATTAAATTAAATTTATAAATAGAAATAAATTTTATTGATATTTTTTGTTTGATATTTAGTAATTTAAAAAAAAATTTTTGTCATTTTTTCTTTTAATTTTACTTTTTAATTTTCTACTTCCTGTGATCTTCAGACCCCGGCCTAAAACAAAAAAGTCTCGTCGTCCCAAAAAGTTTGCAGCAGATTAACCCTATCGATTTCTCTTCATCCAGTGCCATCTTAACCCGGTTTAGGGCACTCGAACTCGCTCTTTGACTCAGGCTCTTGGTTCTTCCTACATCGCTGATCTGTTCTTCAATTACTCATTCCTCCCTTTGTCGTTCTTCTATCTAATCGAGACCGACTTGATCCCGCCCCTTCCCAAGTTCGATCTAGTATGCTTCCGACTTCATTATTGTCTTCTTTTAGATCCTCGTTTTTTATCACTAGTTAGTTTTTATGGTTTCTCAGAGGGACTCTATTAAGAGATTCTATTTTTTAGAGGTGAAACTTCAGGGCCTAAAGGAAGAATGTGTGCATATGATGTATGGGCTCTTAAGCTCTGATGACCAAGCACGCAAATTTAAGTATCATGTATATTTGGTGCTTAGTATTCGCTGAAGTGAAACTTCTCTATACCAACAGTATTGTGTCTTTGTTTTATCCTTGAAAATTCTGAAAGAAATACCCGATTGGATGATCATATCTCTGCAGATGTTAAGTAATAAAAGACAGTAAAGAAATAGTTTAGTATCAGATCAAAAATATATCCTTTCGGATGTTGAATTTCTATCGACAGTCTGTCTCCACTACATGTTATGCTTTAGAAATGAGCTTCTTTTTCTAATTATCTTGTCGGGCTTGTGAAAAAATGACCTATAATTGCTAGTTAGATTACAGTATCGTTTGAATTTTGCGTATCCGTCTTCCAGCTTCGAGGTGTCCATAATACGTTCGAATTTGACACCAAGAAGAAGTGTTCAGAATGCAAGATTATATGATATTGTGATGCCGCAAATGCGCAGACTTGTATCTCTGTCACCTGCTTGTCTTGAACCTCTGCGTTTTTTCTCACTCAATTTACACAGGCAAATGCTTTTTCCTTACTGAGTTATATGCTTTGGTTTCAAAGGATTGAGTAAGATAACCTTCGTGGATCTCAGCTTCCTAGTATCGTCAACATTATGAAATTCTTTTTAGGGGAATTTTTCTACTTAAAACTTCACTTTATGTCCATATTTCTGCTGCTCGCTACATTTTGGTTTGCTTTGCTTTGCTTTAGAGGGATGCTTGGCTTACAAGTGTATCATATGGTGTCTGGTGTTGTCTCACAATTTGTCAGGCTCGGGTAGTTGCGAGGAAAGGATCTTCCGTTTGGTCTTCCATCAGTTGATATTTACTATAAGAAGAGTTGTGTTCAGCAAGGGGATGACTTCTTGCATGACATTTTGAAATTTATGCAATGTCAGGCCTATTAAATGTATTCCCTTATGTCCTTCTAAACTTTTTAGTCTTGTTTTTTTTTTCCTTGTTTTAATTTCTGCATTTAGGGACTGTTTGCATGGTGCATTAGATGGCCTATATTGGGATACTGTTTAGTCCTCAATAATAAGTTTTAGAGTTCATTATATTTTTGTTCCCCCCCCCCGGGGAAATTTCTGTTTATAGATCTGTTTGGTATATAAATAATGTGCCTTTTTATGGGATTCTTGGGGTTCATATATGAGGGCGCAATTATTGGATGCTTCCTAAACGTTGTGGTAACATATTTTGGGTATCTGTTTTATATGTGGGAAACTATCTAATAAGAAGGCAGCACCAATGCACATAGTGTTTGTCCAGATGGAGTTAAATTGTTCACTTGGGAAGAGAGGAAGTAACGATTGCCTACACTTGATATACTTTATTTTTGTGTTATCCATGGGATCTCAATTCTTGTTCATTTTAAAGGTGTTTTCATTCTGAGTTCTTAGATTCTTTGGTACTCATTTTTGTCTCTTCTTAATAAATAAATAAATATCTTTGATTGTCATTTTATAGATGCCTGTGTTTGCTATTTCCATAAACCCTGTTAAAATGTAATTTTACTCTGTTGGTGAAGATTTCTTACACCTGCATGTTTTGTACATTACATAGAATGGGTGTAAGTCTTTGTAACCTCATTTATCAGTTTTAAATCATATAAGATTTCGGTTTTCTCCTCTACTGGTTGTCAATCTTTCTAGCGAATCTTGAGTCTCAACCATCAATGTAAAATGTAACAGACTTCTGTTTGCAGTCTTCCTTGAACGGATCTGCTTCAAATCTTCCTGATGGTGCTGGTAGGTCGTTTGCTACATCATTCTCTGGTCAGTCTGGTGCGGCTTCCCCTGTTTTTCATCACACTGGTGGGCATATTTTGCTGGATTTAGTGAGTCCCCAGCCCCATTTAGTTGTATAATCGCTAGCTTCTCTCTGCAGGTCCTATTCAGGGGTTGCACAATATTCATGGGAGCTTTAATGTTCCCAACATGACAGGCACACTTGCGTCAAGAAACTCGACAATAAATAGTGTTCCATCTGGTGGGGTTCAACAACCTGCAGGAAACCTTTCTAGTGGAAGATTTGGGTCCAATAATCTTCCTGTGGCCCTATCTCAGGTATTTCTGCTCATGCATTTATGTTGTAACAAGACTACGCAAGATTACTCTTTTAAACTCTAATGTGTTCTCTCTTTCATTTATCTCCCTTGTTACATCATGTGCAATTTTTTCATAGTTCTTAATCATTTTTGCAGCTATCTCATGGCAGCTCCCATGGACATTCAGGAGTCACCAATAGAGGAGGTATAAGTGTTGTAGGAAATCCTGGATTTAGTAGTAGCACAAATGGAGTTGGAGGTTCTATTCCTGGGATTCTTTCAACATCTGCTCCAATTGGTAACCGAAATGCTGTTCCAGGATTGGGAGTATCCCCAATTTTGGGAAATGCAGGTGCTCGAATTACAAGTTCAATGGGAAACATGGTTGGTGGGGGGAACATTGGCAGGAGTATAAGCTCTGCTGGGGGGCTGTCTGTACCTGGACTTGCTTCTCGACTAAATTTAAGTGTGAACAGTGGATCTGGGGGTTTAAATGTGCAAGGACAGAACAGATTGATGAGCGGTGTTCTTCCTCAAGGTATTCATTTTGTCTCTTTAACGACTGAATCGAAGTGTCTTGAATGTATATTTTCTTTATAGGATGATTCTTATTCTTTTAGGTTATCTTCCACATTTTGAGTCAAATCCTTTGAATATCAAAATGATATAAAAAGTTAGTTGCAATCCTGGCAGAGTGTAAGTCTAAGCAAGATTGGTTACTAGTTACAATTCTGGAAAACAGAAGAGAAAATACACCAGCACATCAGCACGCGGGCTCCTTGCAAATTCAAGAGGTGCTAGGCTTACCACACATACTATTTTTTAAACCCATCGCTTGAACCACTACCTCACATGATTTCCCCACCATCAGCCTTCTATATCTCATGCACACCTCACGCTAATCATGTGACTAAGCTTCGGCCCATTAGATAGGGGTCCATCATTTGTTAAGGGATATTGAATATCGTGGGACTGATTTACTCCTCAGTAAGCCTTCAATATTCTTTTTTGGCCCCAGTATAAGGATCGTGAAATTTTTTATGTAATGGAAGCAGTGAACTACTGTCGTCAACTCAAGATGAACATCTGCAATTACTTGGACCATTTTACACTTGATCAGTGTATTCCTCTCCTATGATATAGTCTTAGATTGTGTGTAAGCATGCCGTTTGTATTTAGTTATTGCTTCTCTCTGTGCTCCCAACTTACTGTCTTGTAGTTACCACGACATCATTTTGTTTTCAAATGACCCAAAAAATTTCCCGTTGCTGTGAGTGAATGTCGTGTTACAATGGGTGGTTAAATGTACCTGAAGTGCCAGATAAAAACCTACTTGTTTGAGACTTAGATGTTATAGTTATCATGAACTCAATAATATTGGGCAAGACAGCCTTGTGTTTACAAGAATTCTTTATTCAGGATCGCCTCAGGTAATATCAATGCTAGGAAATTCTTATCCCAGTGGTGGAGGTCCACTTTCTCAGAGCCATGTTCAAGCAGTAAATAATTTGAACTCGCTAGGGATGTTGAATGATGTAAATTCCAATGACGGGTCCCCTTTTGACATCAATGACTTCCCTCAATTGACTAGCCGTCCAAGTTCTGCTGGAGGGCCTCAAGGACAATTGGGTATGTTTATTGAAATGTTCTTTCACTTACTATGTCCAAATTCTGCAATAAAAATGATGTGAAGCAAAAATTTCAGGTTCCTTACGAAAGCAGGGTCTTGGTGTTAGTCCTATTGTCCAACAAAACCAAGAATTCAGCATTCAAAATGAAGATTTTCCAGCTTTGCCTGGATTCAAAGGTGTCGTACCTTATTTGTCTCCGATATATGATTGAATTGTTTTAGGTTTTAGCTGCTTTATTCTAGTGTAGAATGCATGGTACCTGTTCTCAAGGTTGGTGTGTTTTGGCTTCGTGCTTGTAGATGTTAAGCACTTATCAAAGCTATATACTCTTTCAGAAGGGCTTTTGGGAGTTCATTTCTGTTTATTTTCTTGATTTGGATTCGTTGCCTTTTGTGCTTTTATTCAATTTAATATCATATGCGTCATTTTTCTGCCCCCATAGATGGCTTTGATCGGTTATGATAGGTGAGATGGCTACAGGTTTCTGTATCATCTTCTATTCATATGCCCTGGTATGTGCTTATTAATGATGCTTTATTGACTCTTAAAACTGCAGAGTCATCCTGTCTTCGGTTTGCTCAAGAAATTCCGCTTGTGCTGTGTAGAGAAATTGTTTAGTTGCTTCAGAATTTACTTTTGATCATGTTGGGTTTGTTCAGGTGGTAATGCAGATTATGGTATGGATATGCACCAGAAAGAACAACTTCATGACAATTCTGTGTCAATGATGCAATCTCAGCATTTCTCCGTGAGTCAAATACTCAAATGATATTATAGACAAAAAACTCTTGCGTGTGCACGCACACATGTTCATGGATAGAATTATGTAATCATTGTTCTGTGCCTTTCAATATGCAGATGGGAAGGTCTGCTGGTTTCAGCTTGGGTGGATCATATTCTTCACATCGCCCGCAGCAGCAGCAGCAGCATGCTCCTTCGGTCAGTAGCGGAGGTGCCTCCTTCTCATCTGTAAACAATCAGGACCTTCTCCATCTACATGGGTCAGATATATTTCCACCAGCACATTCAACCTATCATTCACAGGTCTGCAAATTTTAATGCTGGTTGCTTTTCTTACTCGAGTAACTGGGGGCACTTTTTTTAACTAGGCCATTTTCTCTTGGCTTGATTATAGCTCGTCTTGCTGTAATAGGTGACTATTCAAGCTGTATTTTTGGGTTTTTCTGTATTCATATGAATCTGTCAAAGTAAATGTCGTTGACATGATCACTTTTGAATGTGGGTTTAGACCAGCGGACCTCCTGGCATTGGCTTAAGGCCTTTAAATTCTCCAAATTCAGTTTCTGGTATGGGATCATATGACCAGCTTGTCCAGCAGTATCAACAGCATCAGAACCAGTCTCAGTTCCGCCTTCAACAAATGACAGCAGTAAATCAGTCCTTTAGGGATCAGGGGATGAAGTCCATGCAGGCTTCACAATCTACTCTAGATCCGTTTGGTTTGCTTGGCTTGTTAAGTGTCATAAGGATGAGTGATCCTGATCTAACATCTCTTGCACTAGGAATTGATCTTACAACCCTAGGTTTAAATTTGAATTCATCCGAAAATCTTCACAAGACTTTTGGATCTCCGTGGTCTGATGAACCAGCTAAGGGTGATCCAGAGTTCTCTGTGCCACAATGTTACTACGCTAAACAGCCACCTGCCCTACATGTGAGAAGCTCTTCGTTACATTTTAAAATTTTCATTATGGCTATACCTTTCCCTGTTTCATGCTAAAACTTTTTTTTGGATGGTGCAGCAAGGTTATTTTTCTAAGTTTACAGTGGAAACATTGTTCTACATATTTTACAGGTTTTTTTTATAGCATTATTCTCTGTTCACTTCTGCATTGATTTGCTTTCTATTATAATTTATAATTAGTATTATCATTATTGCTTCGCAGCATGCCCAAAGATGAGGCTCAACTATATGCCGCAAATGAGCTGTATGCACATTCCTTCCTTCTGATCTTTTAATCTTATATACTGAGCAGGATTTAAACTCTTACATCATTTTGGGACCATTGATTTTATTTCCATCTAATGGCTAAAAATCACCTAATTATGTAATGGATTGCAACTAGGAAAAGGTTTCTCAATCAGTCAATGCCAATCTCGAGTCTTTCTCTCGGTTAAATTGTTCTCTATTCCCTTCTTGCATGATAATCCTCCTTGTGATCCTTGGCTTTCTCGACTCTCTTTTTCACATTTCCTTTTTTTTGTCATCCTAGCATAAATTTCACAGCTCATGCTCGCTATGTGGGTGGCAGTGACTAATGAGCCAGACTACTATACCACACCAAAACGTATTGTCTTTAATCATTGTCTACTGCTGATGTTTCTAAGGCTGATAAACCTGTGTATCCTTTTTTTTTTTTTTTTTTCCCCCTGGATGAAAGAATGTCTTGTTTCACCCCACACAGTCTGGGTTAACGGACATGAGATGTGACTCCTATGCACCTAAATTATAGTAGTTCCTGTGACATGACATAATGGTTTCATTTTTGAATTGCATCCAATTCTTATGAGCTTACTTTTCTCATAAGTAAATGCTTGTAACTTTCGCTTCTGAACCCCGTGGCTCTCTCATGATTTCCACCTCGAGAATGAGGGGTCCAATTTTTCACCTGAGATGAAAGGAACTGGCTGGCATAAGAGGAGATAAAGAAGCAATTTTTCACCTGAGACTACATGGTTGGCATTAACTGAGATTCTTTCCTGCTTCCTAGCAAGATTCCATTGCAGGATTGCTTGTGCTTTAGCCAATATTGAGAGAAATAAAATCATTGAGTACAAGAGCTATAGACGACGGGTCATCCCTTGTATGTTGGACTTATGAATTGGTTTATTTATTTTGCAATAAATTCTAACAAGGTCGGTTTCGTGTTATCAGTTACAATAGAGGCTGGTTTTATCACAAAGAGCTTCGTTTGTGGTTTATAAGAGTTCCTAATATGGAGCCTCTGGTCAAAACAAACACGTACGAGAGAGGATCATATCACTGTTTTGATCCGAACACATTTGAAACACTCCGGAAGGTTAGATTTTGTAGATTTATGCTTTTTAATTTTTATAACTTCCCTTAATTAGATTTCCTTAATAATTTTTACCTTAACGGACAACCTATCTGCAGGATAATTTTGTTCTTCATTATGAAATGTTGGAGAAGAGACCGCCGCTGCCCCAACATTGATGAGGAAAGAAACTTTAAATGTAAATTCAATTTAAGGGTTTATTTAATTCATTAGGGCTTAAGTCTTATTGCAGCATTTAGTGTTCTGTCAATTTGGCATTTTGCTGTAGATCGTGTTCTATTCAATGGTCGGTTAGTATCTTACCCTTCTCTCTTTGTATTGTTGTTAGTGTCTGTGTTGTTGTTTACCTTCGATTAATCTGAAAAAACAGTTCTTAGGTTAACTTGCTGACTACGCTTATCCACTAATCTCAAATGCGTACAAAAATATGTTGAACCGTGTGGCGGGGGTCTTTTCTTGGCTGCGTTCTTCCCTCAAACGAAAGACATGGGCATACTATTAATGCGATGCCTGAAGTATGTGCGATATAGTTTCACATAACAAAATGATCTTATATGCTAGCCTGTGTGTATTATGCTCGGAGGGGACATTGACCTTAATTAAACTTGGCTGTTCAAATCCTTTGTTAGAACCAGAGTTTGGCATGGGATGTGACATTTCAGGGATACTAATATACCCTTTCATTGAAATAAGAAAGCTCTAATGGTTTCCTGTGGAAACTGAAATGTAAAGTGAGATGGTGGAAAGTCTTCAAAAGGTTTGACTGAGATGCCGCTCTAGACGCGCCGGTGAGATGTTAGGGAAAATTAAATTTTGGAGGCATTGAGTGATATTGAATTATTGTTTTATTTCAGCATATGTATAAGCATTTTACGAGTTATACTAATTCATAAATTCGGGTCTCATTTGGTAAAAAGGGAGAGGGGGTGATAATAACGGAGGCGGTGGTCCCCTTCATGTCATATCAACGTTGCACGAGAAGATGAATTGAAGGGGCGAGCTACTCTCGGCTCGGCCCCCCCCCGGGCCCCCAAAAAAAACAAAACAAAAAAAAACGAGGGGGAGGGGGGAGTGGAAAGAAAGGGGTAACGGACGGATAGAGCAATATTGTGAAAAAGACTAAATTCAAAGTTACCTGACTTCTATTTTTAATTTCTTGGTTGTGATTAGTCTCTGTTGTCAATGAAAGAAAAATATTCCTAACATTTTTAAAAAAAGAAAAAATGTTTCGTTTGTTTATAAGAACTTGTTCATGGCTAATTAACTGTACAGCGTACGAATTGCAGTGAAATGAACGGTCGCAAATTTCCACATCCCAGATGCGACAACAGGCACTTCGGAACAGCTTTTTTTTTTTTTTTTTTGTGATCCGGTGGATATACAAATAATCCAGCAGCATATGAACATTGTGAGTTATGTATAGAATCCTTCTAAATGGCATACATTTTCTTGAACTCATTATTTAGTAGCTCAGAATCCGACATGACCGACACTGAAAAAGACCTGGACCTGCTTCCCATAGAAGATTTCCTAATACTCCTCAAATTTGAGGCCTCAATCCGATGCCTAATGACCCAGTACGACATTGTCCCCAAGGTTGTCGCCATTATAGTGGTCCCTATTATGGTCACTCCTATCGCCAGCCACCTCTCATGCTTTCCCACCACTACAAAAGACAACGCCAAGAACGCCACCGTTATGAGCACACAGGCCAGCCACATGAGCTTGTTAATAATGGCCATCATCTGCTTCTTTGCCTTGCTCTCTATCACCACCACCGACGTTTGCACCACCACGACGGCCAGAGAAATGAAGAGGGCTATGGAATCAAACACGAAGAAAATGATGAACGGAACTTGTGGGGCTATGTTTGCTTCGCCCAAGGTCTCTCCCACAGGTATATGTTTGGGGTCATCAACGTACTGGCCAGGAACTGTGAATATAGCAGCAAAGGCAACAGTGGCGATTAGTACTGCCACCACAGTTGTGGAGTTTATAGCGTTGTTAAGCCCTTCTGCATGCATTTTGTTTAGACGTTTGGCTATGCCTTGGACTCGTTTTCTGGTTTGGCGTGTGTGCTCCAATTGGTAATGCACCTCGTGCTTTATGTCGCTCACTGTTTGTTTCAGCTCACGCGCTGTGTTTGTGGCAGACTGAGGCTTTATGTTCTTGGCACTCTGCACGCCATGTTCGTCAAGAATGGCTTTAATTTCAAAGTTCCCAGTTTTCTCTGCAGTGTCAATTGCTGTCTCACCACTTCTGTTAACCGCCGTTTTGTCTGTTTCCCTCCGTCCAAGAAGCATCTTGACAATCTGCACAAACACAAACTAGGATTGTTAGCACTGCTGTGAAACATGTACTGTGTAAATTTTCTTTCACCAACTGAAATCGTTTTATTCGATGACATTATTTTATACTAGCAGAGCAGTTCAATTAAGTTGAACGAGGGTGTAGATTATTTGGGATTGGACCCATTGCATTATAGTAGGATGGCTGAAGTCTATTTGTGATCCTAACGCAACACTGCTACTTCATTGTTGTTACTGGTGATTTATCTATTCAGGCAATCTAGGCGTCTGAATAAGATCGTATTCCCCAGAAGAAAAGTTCCTTTCCTGAATTCCTTCTACTGAAACTTGTTTGAGATTGTCCCAATAAATTAAACATCCCTTAGAATATTAGGCTTTCAAAAGGTCCACGTAGTTCCAGACACAACAACAATACCATCAGGCATGGTAATCAGCTAATCAATCTGTTGACCCAAAACTAATAGTGAATCATTTAGGGAAGTGTTGGAGACAACTGCCTCGGGTAGTCCTACCAGTCAGTTTCTTTGGACATCCTTATCAACACATGAACAAGTATAAAATCATCAAAACTACCTAAGATGACAATCTCCGGAAGAAAAAATCATATATCTTGATGCATTTACTCTGCTGACACTTCTCATCAACAAAACGCATGGATGGGATAACATCAACGATCTGGAAGAAATTATTCAAGCTGGACGCAATCACCAATTACTAAAATCAACGCATTTTTTCCAACCAAAAAAAAAAAAAATCAACGCATTTTTTGGAATTAAGCAGGGCGAAGGAAAGCATAATCTAATTTACCGCAGTCCTTCCTTTCCTCGTAGCTATATGCAATGCTGTGTTTCCCTTGTTATCAACCATGTTGACTGATAAGGGATCTGCTTTTATCAGCTCCTCCACTACCTCAATGTTTTGTCCCTTCACAGCCATGTGAAGTGCCGTCTGGCCCTTCTTATCAGTCCGTGTTGCAACCGCAGGCTCCTTCTCCAGAAGCGCTTTAACAACCTCCAAATGCCCGTTTCTTGCAGCAGAATGTAGGGCTGTTTTCCCATTGCTTCTGGCAATGGTTGCTATGCTACTTCCTGCTTCCAATAGAAAATTCACCACCTCTGTATGCCCCTGGGTTGCTGCCATGTGCAAAGCTGTGGTGTTTGATGGATCTACCGTCATAGATAATTCAGGATGAGCCTCCATAAGGATCTTCAGTACATCTGCAAAAGGCCAAACAGAAGTAAGTTCTCCCTCTGTATTGCATATCGCAGTCCACAAAGAACAGGCGTACTAACTTCAATGATATATACCTATATCGCCTTGTTTGGCAGCAATAAGGAATACGTCAAAACCATTTCTAGCTTTAATTCCAGCATTGGCAAGATCGTAATATTTAATCATCTCCCTAACTAATTCAACATAACCATATTCAGCAGCAACATAAAGAGCTGTTTCTCCAGCCTGATTTTGCTTAGCCAACAATACATTGAGTTCAGATTCTTCAGTGCCCGTAAGGATCTCCTTCACAACAGCCATATTTCCTGATCTTGCTACTGTGTGTAGAGGGGTATCATCCCGCTTTCCTGTCAACTGTTTCGTCATTTTCTTCCTAGGGGTGCTTGCTTGCGCAGCTGGAAGCTGCACCGCGGACGCTGCCATTGAATTCAACTACGTAAGACCCCTCTATTTGCTAATCTTTGTTACTGTATCAGAACCTCTTTTCTTCCTTCCAGCAAAAACCCAGATCAAAACTAACATCTTTCATCCCAAATAATTATTATTGCCTCCTTGAAGCAACTCGAGGGGATGCATCAATCGAACCATTGTGGAATACCGAAAATCGCAAAAATATTTGAGGCTGTTTCTGATACCTTTGTTCTGCGTACCTCCGTGATCAGTGCCCTGGTCACCCAACGAAAAATCCGGGTTAAAACCATTCAACCAGATTGCGTTGTTCACAAAAGGAAAAAGAGAGAAAGAAGAGAAGGTAGAATTTATGAATACGCAGTTCACAGGAAAAAAAATTATGAATACGCAGATAAATAAATAGTTATAGCGTGACTCAAGCATTCCTGAGATCATTCTACGGAAGCGAAAAAGCAGAGAGAAAAATGGGATGGCTGGACCAAATTGACCTGAGTTTGAAAGAGAAACTTCCTTTTGCTGCCCTCCGTCTACAGCCATGAAAGCCTGAGATTTGAGAGCAGCTCTCAGGGAACCATATACGGTCTCGTCAGGACACCCTGTATCGAACATTCCGGAAAAGAACAAGAGGCCAGAGTAGTATCAGAGAGAGGCCCAATCAAAATATATATCACCGAGGGAAAACACTCGAAGAAGAGAGGAGGAGGAATCTAAATCTGAGGGAGGATAGAAATGATAGCACCAATCTGATCAACAAAAGAGCAACATTTCGGAAAGGGGTCGACGACGACGATGATGATGATGCGGTGAGACCCAGGAAAAAAAAATGACGAGAATCAGAAATAGGGTGGAAAGGAATAGCCCCAGAGAGAGTTATGTAAACCAGTAGTGGTGGCCAATAAAGGTGCCAAAAGAAAAAATATTACAAAGATTAAAATGGGTGACGATGAGAATAACAGAACCACGCGCGAGGCAATATCTTTAGGCGCGAGTTGGCGCCGTCGCTTAACGAAACAGTCTTGCTCTTGCAGTCTTTTTTTTTTTTACCTGAATTGCTCTTGCTGGTTGACTCCTTCGTTTATATAATTCAGTAAACTGTAGAAGGCAACATTGGATCATTTGTGAAAACTAATTATTTCCCAAAAGATTACTACTACAAGTTAACTAATTTAGTAAATTAGAAAAAAATTTTAAGTTAGTTATCAGTAAAAAAATTAATATTATTTTTTAAAATATCTTTTCTAATAATGTGTACTTCTCCGGTCCTTAATATAAAACACATTTAACTAATTTGATTAGATTAATAAAGTTAGGTAAGTTAGTTAATTATAAAAAAAGTGACACATTTTTGCTAAAACACCATAATTTTCTTTCTTTTTTTGCCTGCGCACCCGGTGTCCTGGCCAACCCCGCAGGGACGGACTACCCCTAGGGTGAATCCAATTACAAACCAGACTAATCCGGACCGAGGCATGATAGGAACCATTAAGGTTGGCGCCCCTGGCCCCTAAGATGCTGCGTTCCCAGGGCTCGAACGTGGGACCTCTGGTTAAGTTATAACGACTCCTGCCAGTCGATCTAATCATCGGGGTTCCATAATCTTCTTTCTTAATACCCCTTCTCCCTCTTCCACTTGATTATGGTTGATGGAGTATCTATAGGGGTAATTTAGAGAAAATTGATAAATATCATAAATAGGTCTTATATTTAAGATCAAAACTAACTCAAGAATTGGGTCCTATATTAAGGACCGAAAGACTATTAGCTAGAACTACCATTTCATAGAGCATTTAATATGTGTAATTATTATAAAAATTAAATTTAAAAATAGATAAATATGAAAAACAAAATAAACAGAAATTTTATATTTAGACTTAAATTAAAAGTCAAACTAACTCTAACATTAAGGACTAAAAGTAATATTACCATATAAATAATATTTTATATTTTTTATGTCTTGAATTTTTCAATTAGTTAAGGTATCATGTCGCAATCAATTAATTTTTCTTTTCAAAATTATTCGGGGTAAGAAATTGGCCAGGTCATTTACTTTCCCTCTCTCTGTGTCCTTATTAAACGTGGACCATTCTGCGTACAAACGGGAATCATTTTTTGTCCTTGGTCGCGTCGGCAAATGCTGTCGGATACCATACCATGTTCCTTTCGAGGAACTGATAAATACTATGAAAATAGAAATAAAATAAGTATATGATTTAAATTGTTAATTAACATCTTTTTATTTTGAAAGTATATTTTTGGCCACTAAAAATAAAAATATCTAAATTTTAATCACTTGATATTCTCCTAAAGTCATTTTAAATAGCTAAAGTGAGATAACTGATGGGAACAAGACTGACGTGGAACTCGCAAACAAGCTGAAATTTGCAGGGGCCAAATTGTCAATAAACAAACATGAGAAAGAAAACAAAACATCCCACTGAAGTGCATTACTTTTTGTCCGCAGATCACAGCATGTAACGTGTGAATGAGTTCCATAAAACAACGATACTCGACCGCCTCAGCTAGTAGGACATCTAATCTAATTTTAACCTAGGCGCGTTAAAATTACTCTCTTCCTTAATTTCTTGGTTAAATATAAGAGCTAATCATCTAAATTAAAATTTGTTTTCTCATATTTTTATTTTTTAAATAATTTACCCACCTTAAAAATTAATCAAGATTTAACCCAAAAAAATTGATGAAGATTGACCTATAATACACTAATAGATCATCCGCATGTAATATGGGGACGTGCGTGGCAAATACTAGTAGCTATATACAAACTGGAAAGAATAGTAAGAGTTATTTATGACCAGTAACAGGTTTATCCATCCAACATGCAAAACCACGTGTAAATTTGTCGCTTCAACAAGTTAGTGGGAGTTTTTGCCCAAAAAATAAAAAAGTTAGTGGGAGTGTGCAAGGAGGGCCCACGTCAGTGGACCGAAAATGGTCGTTTTCGGACGAACGTCGCAAGTTGCAGCGCCAACGGCGAGACGGCCCCACAAAAGTTAATTTAATTTTGTTTTTCTTAATTCCGTCAATAATGCGCACAGCGTCATATGATTCCCTCGGTCTCTCCCCAAAATTTAAACCCCCCGGTCTTCATTACGGAGCAGCGGGAGCGTGAAACGCACGCGGACAAAAGAGCACATGGATGGGATGGGTGATCCGACCCGACAAATTCTGAGAAACCCACATGATCTTATCTCAATCAAGAGAAGAGCAGGGTGAGGTTCCTATTATATACAACAGCCAAAAACTAAATGGTCTCCGTCTGATTTGCTTAGAGAGATTACACGTGTTCGATTTCACATAACATAGCCTCAATTTCCGGCATGAATCCCTGCCCGACATAATTGGTCTCCGATCCGGTGCCCGTCGATGCTAATAGCACTGTTACAATTACAACTAAAATCCCTGTCATGGTTTTGTCATTAAACATTACCTCTGTTCACATCAACGGTGGAAACTTTGTTTCTTTAAATAAAATAAGAAGCAAGAAGTTTGATTATACACACACACACAAATAAAACAAAGTGTTAGAAAATGGGATATGTATTTTTTTTTCTTGAGAGATTAGCCTCATGAACAGTGTTTAGAGACGAATGTTTGGGATTGAAATGAAAGTGAGAAAGGAGACATAAAAGAATAGAAAATGGAGGGGGGAGTCAAAAGTAAACGATGGGAAATATATGATAGGGCGCGTTGAATGAGGGGGTGAGGACAAATAGATGAGTAGTGATGGTGATGATGATTGAGCAGTGAATGTGAGACAGCCACTCAAATTTCAAAGGCAGATGGACGTATCAATCCCCAATTTATACACATTCGCGCCTCATTGACATTGTCCCTTCTATCCTTTTCACCTTTTTTAAAGTTAACTCCCACTCCTCTTCCTCCCAGAAAAAATTTCATTTCATTTTCCACGAAGCTTTTCCGTCCACACATGGTATAAATACTAATTCCGATTTTAATTATAAAAATTAGTTTACTAATTTGAAAAAATTAAAAAAAAAATTAATTATTTAGAATAAATTAATATTGTCTTTTCTAAAATATTTTTATTAATCAAATATATTGGCTAAAATACTCTTGTTAGAAGGATTACCTTGAGAAAAAAATATATAAATATGAAAATAAAATGGGTTGAGATCTTATATTTATGACCAAAATAAAAATCAAACAAAATTTTATATTAAGTCGGAGGAGGTAGTACCTTATTCCCAAAATTAATATACTGCTGCCTAAAATAATATACCGGTCTTTAGGCACTTTGCCTGCATATGATGTGGACCTAATAATAACTTGTTTTAGAAAACTCATAAATCACGAAGTGATCAGTTAGAGTCACCCTGTTCTCTCTCTCTCTCTCTATATATATATATAGTTTTTTTCATAGAATATAAGTTTGACGGTTTTAATACAAGTTTGCTAAAATGTAAGTTTGATGCTTTTGAGAAATACAAATTTATTTACTTTACATGATTATGTTTTTATTTTGTCACTTGATGAGGATGATTAAAATATGAATTATCAAATTTTAGAATATAAAATTACTCGCAAATGTTTTTCTGAAAATTTTGTTAATTTTCTCATGATTTAAAAATAAAGCAACAGAGGGCGACGCATGAAGTTTGTAGAACCAACTGGTGGGGGAAGTCACATTTCATTAAGTTAGTTCCACCTAATTAGTAGTAGTCGCCAAGAAAAGGAGAAGGTAGCAGCGCTCCACAAAGCAGGGCAGCGAGGTCATAAATTACTATAATTGGGAGCATAGTGACATGAAAGGTCATGAGCTTAACGATACCATCTCAAACTATCTTCCTATTTAAAATGATTTATGAATAATTTTTTAATTATAATTTAAGAAGCAAGTATGTGAGAAGATTTTTATTTCAATGTACCTGAAACATATTTATAAACGATTTCAAACGTAATACTAAATAGGACCTCAACTAATTGCACGTATAAAAATAGTTTTCGTTATTATGGAAAAATAATCCAAAGAGTATATTGGAAAAATCATTGTTCCCTCCGTCCCCTTTTTATAAAAAATAAGTATCACTTTTATTTTGTCCATAATTATAAGAAACATTTGTAAGATATTTCAAATGTTCTTAGCTAATTTTCTATATTTTGTCCTTGTTAATTAGTTATTCTAATACTTAATATATTGATTATCTCATTTGTCAAAGCACCATTCACTCATCTCTCCATCACAAGTTTTTTCTATCGCATAATTATATTTATTTTAATAATTTTTTTGTTCTCTTTCTTTCTCATAAATATTTATATTTTCAAAAAAAGTTACAACTTTTACATGTTTACTGTTTTCAAACAATGTTAACTAACTTTTTAATCTGTGTGACTTTTTCACATGTTTCTTGTAAAAAAAAAAAAAACTAGGGAGTATCATTTTATGCAAATAACTAACTTGTTAACTATTTTTTCCCTTTTAATGTTTGTAGATTAATTATTTGACTTTTATATACTCCTTTGATCTTATTTATAAGGCAGTAAAGGGTACTGAGAGAAATTTTTATATGGATGTATAATTTTACTCTTAAGTTATTATTGTATTTGTTTTGTTTACATGAGGTATAATGTCTATTAAATAGTAATGAAATTAAAAAATTATTAAATTTTAAATCAGAATTAAAAAAAACTTAAAATTTTTCTTAATCCACGTGAATCATGTTAAAAGCTATTTATAAATAAAACTAGAAAAAGTATATAAAAAGCCGGAAGGGAACCATGTAGACGTGGTGATTTGGAGTTTGAAAAATAGTGAAATCTGGGGGTTGAGGCTGATGGGAACGGTACCCTATGGAAGGATCTAAAGTAATAAAGAGAAACGCGGAAGGCGAGGCTCTGCCAAATGCGTGTACCTGCCATGCCTTTGTTTGGCTCCCAACTGGTCATATTCATAAATCATGCATCCTAATGATGAGCATCTCATCTGCGTTGAGCACTTCAATCCATGCACCACTCTCTACTTATGACCTCACCCCCACTTTTTGCTTGATGATTTTAAGAAATACAAATTTATTTACTTTACATGATTATGTTTTATTTTGTCACTCGATGAGGATGGTTAAAATATGAATTATCAAATTTTAGAATATTTATATTGGGCCGTATTTTTATTTATACTTTATAAAAATACAATTTAAACTTTAGATGTTATTTAATAACTTATCCCCTCAGGATTAAAATATCTCGTCTCTGCATGATGATAAGGATGAAAAAATTATTGTTAGACTTTTAATTTCCATTATCACAGTGAAGAACTTTCTTATTTGGTTGGATCGTACAAGTTTGACTCTAAACTTGAAAGCATTTATATTTGATCATGTGAGTTTATATATATCATGTACGCTGGACTTTGCATGTGATAATGTGAATCACGGAATATCATTTTTTGGGCCGCGGGGGGGGGGGGGGGGTTAATAAAACATATAGGCTTACGTGCTCTAAGCTCAAACAATTAGGATTGGGGCTAATAAAATGAAGGAAATAAGGTTTTGAACCTGAGCCCTGATGGACCAATCAGGCTATTTCCCAGCTCTAACTATGTATTAGTTGTTATTTTTAAAATAAACTGGTTCATTTACTTGATAAAAATATAATTATGAAAACAGAATAAAATCGGCCAGCGCTGATAAGAATTCTGCCATGATAGTACTTCTTTTGGTTCAAAATATAAGTTAAACTTTTTTAAAGAAGTTTGTTTTTTTTTTATAAGATAACATTCATTTTTATCCAAGCATTTAATGAATTTTTTTCTTTCAATTTTATCTTCATATATTCTCTTTCATCTTCAATTCATTTATTACATCTTTTCCTTATTTTCTTTATTAATAAAGGTTTATTAGGAAAAACAAATATATGTCTGACACATTTATTGTTTTGAATTGATTTTAATTAGTTTCTTAATAAATATAATAGATAAAATCTAGCTAATATTTTGAAGCGGAGGGAATAATATTCCAGGGAAAGGCGACTAATTGTGGGTTTGGCATGCGGGGAAAAACTGAAAGCGAGAGATAACAATGACAATTAATGAATGATGAAATATGAACAAGTTATAGGTGGGGCCCCCAACGAGCATAAATAATTGGGGGCTGGGCATCCAAAATGATGCTATGGTCAGCCGCATGTGTCATCGGCGTATGCATACACATTCTGCATCGCAGGACAGTAAAATAATGGGAATGGATGAGGATGCATCAGTATAACCGGGTGGGTCATCCGGATAAACACGTCTGACCCGATGGCAGGGGCGAGGCACCAAATTGAAGGCTTGGCGCTCAAAGTGTCACTTACAGTACAGCTATTAGATTGCGGGCCACCCACTGCGTCCATCAGTCCTATTCAGCTATTTAATGCCATTCATTGAATCCCAATCTCCATTCCACGCAATTAGCCGAAATATTCAACCACCGTATTATGAGCATCTGGAATATCATTTGCACATGCAACAGCAAGCCAAAATTTGAGAGATTAGATGTGAGAGAATTCTTCCTGGAAAAAAAATATATCCGCTTTAACACTATCTCCGTTTTTTAATATAAAAATTAAATAACTAATTTAATAATATTACAAAAATTAATTAGATTAGTTGTTTCACTAATACCTCTTTAATCATATACATGTATTGGAACTAGTCCTCTAGTCTTATTTATTAAGCACCTTCAATATTTTCCTACGGATTAAAAAAACTTTAAACTATATTGACTCTCTATTATAATATAACAACTTTTTAATTTCATCTCTATTTAATATATACGTATTTCAAAAAAAACTATTGACACTGTAATAAATGAAGGACAAAATAATACATTCATACTAAAATTTCAATAGAGTGTCTTATAAATAAGATCAGAGAAAGAGGAGTACACCCTAATAGCAAGAACTTCTTATAATCCTTAAGGATATTTTAGAGGGGAAAACTTATAGATCTGAGAGATAAAATAAATTGAGGTCTTATATTTAGGAATAAACGCGACTGTTCGCTAACTCTTGTATTAAGCCGATGAGAAGGTAGTGTATATAGATTATTACTGCATCAAATTCAAGCATATAATATGGGCTAACATATCACACACCTTTTTGCTCTCAGTTTAATTTGTCTCGGCCCTTCAAAACTAAAAGGGAAAAAGACACATGGCTCTCTCTCTCTGTGTCTCTCTGTAGGGGATACTTCGTAATGAAGAAATGAGGGAGAGGCGATTGCAATCTAATTAACAAGAGAGGAAAAGGAACTTACAAATAATGTATATATGGTTGGGATTGTGAGGAAGTGGCATGCTGTAAATAAGGGAGGGTTTGGATCTGGCGATGCAGAAAGTACTGGAATAACACAGGCCAACAAAGGTGAGGGGAGGAAAAGACGAAACGAAGAAAGAGAGGCGCTGGCCTGGGTATTGACAGAGAGATTCGTAAAGGTGAATGCTTAAACAAATGAGGCAGCCACATTAAAAAGTAGAAACCGAGCATGAGGCCCACATGGAGTCCAGGGGAATCGTCCAAACAAGACCGCCGAATTGCCTCTTTGTTTTTCTTTTTATCATCTTAATACTCTATATCAACATATGTGTATTACAGTCTCTTCTCTCACAACCTGCACCACCAACTGCTACTTTCTTTAATCTTTTTCATGTTACGCCCACTTACACTTCAAATGCTCTCTCGTCTTTTTCCTACTAATTAAACTCGTTACTTAGTTTATATGCTAGATTCTTCGCATATAGTATCTTTAATAATAGAATGTTAATTAAGAGGTTGGTAGAACGAGAGCATACTCATTAAAGAGGTCTATGATTAATTATGCACCTGCAAAATCTGACATACCTTTGTAATCTTCCATAAAACTTCCCCAGATCTTAAATGCATAACTTGATTTAATTACTTGCATAATTCTCGGCCCAGAATTTATGGGAACTGATGAAAACATCACACACACTCGTGAGAGGAGCTAACAAAGGATAAGGAAATCAATCGGTGCACGTGCGCCAGAACCACCCCTCTCTCTCTTTCTAGTTTATATATACAAATATATATACGTATCGATTGCTCCCTGTCGGATGCTGTTGTTCCTTCACATTGTACTACCTCTGGTCTTTAATATAAGATCTCATTTCACTTTTATGTTGGTCCTAAATATAAGACTCTAATCCATTTTGTGTCTCATATTTACTTCATTTTTTCTAAAATAATCTTTCTAATAATTATAGTTTAGCCAACATACTTGATTAGTAAAGATGTTTTAAGAAAGACAACACCTATTTATTACAAATAACTAACTTAACTTCTTTTCTTAATTTTCTCAAATTAGTCAACTGACTATTATAATTAGGACCGGAAGTAGTATATACTATCACCCATATGCCAAATTTAGATTTTGGTTTTGACCGTTACATACAAATTGACCAGTTTCATCACCTATATTTCCTACATATCCCTTTATTCCTCTTCATTATTATTGTTTTGTTAGCCATTCTTCAAATCAGTGGTATACTGATATGCTTTACTTGTTCTTCAAGCCCAGTTAGCAAAGTTCAACCAGGAATTTATTATTCTGTTTACGAATGTTGAAACATTTCAGTGAGATATGTGTGCGCGCGCGCAGGCAATTGGAAAGCTAAAGCTTTCCACAGTTAAACATGTGAACCCAGGAACATGGTGCGTGCATGTACAGTTTTCATATTCTGTAGACCCACCGCTTCAGAAGCCTGTTGGCGCAAAATGCATGGCTGCATAACCGCACACAGATCAAAAACAGAAAAAACGTAAGATGGTGAAGGGGAGGGATATATATGTCGTGTCGGATTAGTTAATGATTCAAGTGGAGGGGAGCTATCTATCTACATATAGCTGCGTTTTTCTCAACGGTCAGCCACGAATATATTAAACTGATAATTCTGACCTACAAGCGTTTGGAACCTTCTAGGTTAGGTGGAATGGGCATGGAAAACGATCCGTCGTTGACAGTTTATGTATATTTAATAAATACTGCTTGACGTGTCAGGGGACCAATAATAACTGGTGTGCTAGTCACAGGCTCACAGACTAATTAAGCATCCCCCAATTAAATATATGTAAGCTGTTAATTACATCGCTTTTCATGTTATTGTCTCCATTCACCCATACTTCATCAACGGAAATATTTATTCTCTTCATTTTTATTTAAAATAATTGTCACTCAGAGTTTTCATTTTGTTTCAAAATAATTTTTTAAGAGATTGATTTCTCCTGTAGAATATAAACTGCAAAACAGAACAGTTCATCTCAGGAAACCCCCCCCCCAAACAAAAAAAGAAAAATAAAAAAAGAAATGACTGTGACTTGCTCTGCTTTTATTTTCTTTTAAGAAAGTTGTCTGGGAAAAGTATTTAAAAATACTCCAGTACAAAATAAAATATCCAAAATGAACTCCTCAACAACCAGGAGAACGTAACCTTCGCACAATTAATATATTAGCGTGTAAGAATTGTCTAACCTCCCTCAAAGCAAAAGTAGCATCATTATTATAAATCTGGGCGGTCTTGGCGCCTTGATGGTGCAAGAACTTTCATTTTCGTTATCAATATCAATACTTATTTGCAAATAATTCTAATTTAAAATGATGTTCCTGAACGACATTGCCATTTTAATTGTGTGGGGATTCTTTTTTTAAGACCACCTACTTTGTGAATAATTATAATCATACAGCACATAATAGTATCAAATTTCGATACTGTTTCGCATAACAGGTAACGGCCACGTGTATTTGGCTATTTGCTACAAAGTCATACTATTTGTCTTCTTTAAGCAAACAGCACGTTTTTTGTCTATTTGCATATATAATAGTCTCATAAGTCATAACAAAACAATATATATGCATATATAAATCAACCACGGGAACCGTTGAATAGAAGGTATGGTTTATGAACAGAACAAAATAGATTCACTCTCACGGAAACCGATTGTTCATGTATTCATATAAGCTGCACGTTGCATATTATATAATAATCGCATGATCTTACAGGATTAGGATTTTAAGTTTGATTTTTACAACTAAAAAAAATCAAATTATTCTTCAATTTTAAATTTAAATAAAAAATATCATTATAATATCAAACGTTAAAAAAAAAAAAGGTGAAAGACAGAGGTTTATTAAAAGATAGCGATTTTCTCCTAGGCTTAATGACAAATTAGTAACTTTTCTATAGTTGTTGCGCCGTGGATCCACAAGACTTTTTGACATTCTTTTATAATAGAATTGATGGGCCTATTTGGGCTTGTAAGGCCTTAGAGACGTCTCTTTTTGAAATTCCCGTAGAATCCTGTTAAGATACCAGAGAAAAGGATGTGCGTGTTACGGCCAACCCAAAGGCTCCCATATGGTTGGGACTTCAGAGAAGTCAATGGAGTTTGAAAATGGAAAAAATGACCCATAAATCCGAGGCAGTTCAATTTTCTACTAATATGACTTGTAAATGATATAACTCAGCCTTGTACGTATTAAAATTTGATTTTTATACATAAATTATTAAATTTAGCTTATAAATGATACAATCCACCAAGCAAATGTACAAGCTTCAGCCTTCAGTTGCAAATAGAAAATTTTCGAAACCTCTATTTGATTTTCACAAGGCTCGGAATGTATGCTGCATTACGAATTATTTGTTTTTTTTTTAATAAACAACTTTTGGGCTGTATGCCAAAAATCCTGATATCTTCTTTAGCGGCGTTGATTCGTTGTGGCTATTCAAATGCCAGATCGTGTACTGTGTTTGACTTGGGCACCATCTGTCCTGAAAAGGCCATGGCCCGCAACCAATCAGAAAGCGTGGGAAGTTCTTACTTCCTCAGCCCCTATCACAGACAAGAAATTGCAGCAGCATGTGCTTAAATACTAACAGAGCTTCAAGTCGTGACTCAATAACTATTTGCTGTTGGAAATTTGAATGCGCAGTTGCAGCCGAACTGTCCTCAAGGTGGCCGTAGGGTCCATCACTCGGTTTTCCCCATATGTGAATGTGTCGTCGCCCATAATTTATTGCGTTTATGAGTAAACATGGCAGTTCTCCAAAACTGTGCGCTCTTCTCTCTCCTTTACGACCTATCGTCGCTTTCTTATCCTCTTTAATTCTGTTTCTCTGAGACAAATGAGGTATCCTATACTTTTATTATGCCACGCGAATATACTGTTCTTAGTAACTTGCGGGCGACAGGTTCCAACCATGGGAGAAAGTGAAGATTAATTTCCGCTCATCTATTCGAAAATACCAGTCTCACGTCCAAAAGTAAGAAGGAAGACGAAAGAGTCGTACTTGTGGCAATTTTAAGTAATTTTGGTGATATAGATAAGTCAAGTACAACTCAACTGAGAAATTTACATGCATTGGTGTCATTTCAGGAATAAGAGGCATGTAAAAGACAGAAATTAACTAAGTGGCTAGAAACTTGAAATCGAGATCGACAACGTTGGGCAGGATATATGGAGAATTTAAAAGTATTCTAATGGAACTAAATAACATGTATTCATATCTCTAAAAGCACAGTAGAGTGAAAGGTTATTTTCACAATATCTATCTTTTCGTTGATCACTATCACCATAACCCTTTAAACAGTGCGGAATTCAACAATAACATATAGTGTACAACACAGCAAATATGCAAAACAAATTCAGAGTGTGGGTGATATAAGAACCGCGGTGCATCAGGATGTTGTGGAGATACTGATGGTGAGAAATACTTTATTGTCATGTACAAATCTCCACTCACACCCAACAACTATAGCACTATACGTATACTCCCCTTACGCGTGCCCCTTTTTCTTTTTATTATCTCTTTAAAACCAGAGATGATGAGAGAGCTCAGCTCAGAAAATCAGGTACTTGGACGTTGGTGAGGTCCTCAAGTGTGTGGATCCAACCAAACTTCTCCAAGAAAGGATTGGCCAAGCACTGTGGTGGGTACTCATCAATGCAATCTTCCCACACGTTAGCGTCCTCAAGATCCCTCGTTACCTCCCACAGACAGCTATTGCATTTAAAGCCTGCACCGAAGCTTATCATCAGTATTCTCTCTCCTTTCTTCAGCCTCTTCTTCGCTTCCATGTAACCCAACACATACCAGAGGCTACTCGCCGACGTGTTCCCAAAACGGTGCAGTGTCATCCTCGCTGGCTCCAGATCATACTCGTTCAGATCCAAGCTCTTCCCAACCCCGTCAATCACAGCCTTCCCTCCTGTGTGTAAACAAAAATGATCAACCCCTGCCTTGAAATTCAATGGCGATTTGGCCATTCCTCCGCTTGAGGTCTTTGCAGAACTCTTTGTGTTGAGCTTCTTCGCAAGGGACATCAGCATGAACCTCATTAACTCTCCTACGGGTAAAATCTTTGGGGATATTACTCTTAAATTATCGACAAAAGCCCTCGTAGCTGCTTTTGGGAGAGATTTCCCGAGGTAGAAACCCAGCCGTCCTTCCTCGTCTTCTTGTTGCATGCAGCATCCGTATGACTCATCTCTGGCCCCATGATGAGTTCTCACTAGGCACTTGAGTCTCAGCATGCTTTTGTGCTTCAGACTCCTCTTGTTTGTGAGAAGAATGGCACATCCACCAGCTCGGAACAAACAGTTCGCGAGAATCATCGACTTGTCCTTTCCAGAATACCAATTTGGACTCAAAGACTCGGAAGTCACCAGAAGAGCAAGCTTGTTCTTCTGGGACTGGAAAATATTCTTGATTATGTCCACAGAAATGAGGCTGGCGCTGCAACCCATCCCGGTGAGATTGTAAGCCTTGATGTCCTCCCTCATTTTGTAATGGTTAATGATACGGGACGACAAGGACGGAACGGCGGCGGACATGGAGACGTTGACGACAAGAACATCGATGTCGGAGGGAGAAAATCCTGATCTGGACAAGAGCTTGGCGATGGCGTCGTGGAAGAACTCGTCCATCTCTAAGCGGGCATCCTCCAAGGTGGGCTGGGCCTCGCGTCCCAAGAAGACGTTTCTTGGGGCGTAAGTTTGCTCGCCAATGCCGGAGCTCACAATAGCTTTGAGCAGGAATTTGTACTCGTCGAGGCCCAAGTAAGGATTCCTGGCGATGATCTTGCCACAAAATTCAGTGCCAAGCTTTCTCTCATCTGGTGGCTTGTAGCACTGGTAATCTAAAATGAAGCACTCTCGGTCTTTTCTCTCATCGAGCAGCTTCCACATCATGAAGCACAAATACAGCATTGGAAAAATACAGAGTACGGTGAGGAACTCCATATATGAGAGAGGGAAAGAGATGTCAGAGAACACATGCAGCAATAGGTTGTAAAAGATGCAGAACTTGAAAGAGATGGAGTGGCGTATTTATAATGAGGAGGGAAAATAGTGACAAGGGATGTGAATAATGATGATGAGTTTGAGATGTGTGTGTCAATATAGCTCAACCCCCAACAAACTGATCTCTTCTGCAACTTTCGTGTGAAACTTTATTGCAAGATGAAAATCAGAACAAGTCCACTTTAATTAACTTCTAGTCATGCCTTGCGCATGTGAAACAAAGAGTTTCTTGCTTCCCCGGGTCTGTAAAATCGAAACACCACGATGTGTCAGCCTGGCATTGCCAACGTGCGAACGCGTTTATATTATAGCACATACATATAAGTGGAGTTCACGGTTAGTAGTTTACCGAACGTGGTCATCTACATTTAAGGAAGGTGAGCTGTGGGAGCTACATATAGGGGGAAGAATCTAATTCATCTTGCTATAAAATAAGGTCGTAGATACGCAGTGGATTGATTGTGTAAATTAATTATAACGCTCTGATTAATTAATTTTATATTCGCGCATATATACATGCGCCCCAAAAAAAAAAAAGCGAAGCTGATAAAAACGGTCGCGCTGGGTGTTCCTAATGCATTAAAAGTGTCGGCTGGTATTTTACGTAGTAGAATGAAAATGTTTGCCAAGGTTCTTGTCATTACGTACGGGACAAAAGCCGAATATTTACCGTGTGGAGTTGATCACTGGAAGGAGAAGCCTTAAGTGGTTGGTTGAGAGTATTTATGCCCTGAAGGTTGACATAATAATATCCACTTCAATCAGCGCAGCCTTTGTTGGTTGGCGAAGTTTCTTACTCCTCCTTTGGGCGAAGCTTCTTAGTTTATTCTCTCTCTCCCCGTCATATCAGCATTATCTCATTTCATAGTCAACCTTGATTAACTCCCAACTAATTTGTTTTAATCTTGTTCCTGTGCATGCATGATCGGATGGCCCGAGTAGCAACTTGTTCGAATTATTAAACTAATTGTATCAACTGCTATGGTGGATAAGCATGTTGACAAGTCACACCCGTCATTAAAAAGTTACTCTGCTCATAGTAATATTACTAACATTTTTCCTAGCTCCGATCCAAGTCTTAAATAGGATTTGGTTAAAATTATTGACTAAAGGAATAGTCCGTGATCTCCTCATATATAATGAAACCCAAATTACCTGTTTTTATTGACTGGGTCGAACAACTTGTTACTTTTTGATCGTCAAGTCTAGCAATCGTACTTCCTGCATGAGAAATTAAAGATTCTCCCTTCCTTTCCATTACGGGAGTATATATGTCAACACTTCGTTTTCAAAGTCAACCTTATCTTCCCAACTAACCATCGTTTTAATTTTAATTTGTCGCCATTGCATCTTATCTTCCTCTCCGACCTCCGCTATATATCTCATGAACCCTTCGTTTCAAGGTCAAACTTTTGATATATTTAAATGAACTCTCTTATAAGCTAATTCTATACACACACTACCTCCCACCCTCAATATAAAAGCTAATTCTATACACACACTACCTCAGTCTATTTTGTCTATCATTTTTTTCAAAATAATCTTTGTAGTAGCTGCACATATTAAATGTTTCATTAAATATTAAAACTAATATATCTGATTAATATTTAGGAAGGATAATGCATATTTATTACAAATAACTAACTTAATAAATTTTCTTGACCTATTTAAGTTAATCAAACAGTTCTTATATTAAGGAGTAAAAGTTGTGTGTGTATTAACAGATAAGCAAGTTAACAAGACACGTTTATTCTTCTAGTAATAATTAAATCCATATATAGTTACTCTTGTTGATTTCTCTCTCTCGAATAGCATAAATGATATGAAATTTATTTCAGTTCGCGCTATTTATAACAGTACAATTCTTTCCTGAAAGTTCAGGAAACACACACTGAAGGCATACCATGTCTGAATAATAACGGTATTGTGCAGATTATTGAGTGTTGCTTTTCTTTTTGGGCCAATGAGTGTTTGTAAGTCTAAACTCATCATTTTGATCGAAAATTCTAAATGACCTGAGTTGTTTAATGTACATGGTAGCTACAGTTGTTTACGTATTTTTATTCAAGTATATACTCCTTTCGCTTCAAAATATAAGGTAAACTTTATCTATTTATATTTATCAAAAAATTAGTTAAAACCAGTTTAAAACATTAAATATGTAATGGATGTATTTTTTCTCAAATATACCCTTATTACTGAAAAGAATAAGTAAAAGATACGATAAATAAATTAAAAAAGAAAGAGAATATATGGGGAGCAAAATTGAAAAAAAAACTCATTAAATACTTAGACAAAAGTGATCAATATTATCTTATAAAAAAAATCTAACCCTTCTAATAAAGGTGTTGATTTTTCCAATCGAAGTAAATTACAAGTGTATACATATCACGTTACTTATATGGGAGAATTGCAATTAGATGGAATTAAATACAAAAAGGTCCCTTAAAATTATGAAATTATTCTGAAGTCCCAAGAGACTTTTTTGTAATAAATTTTATTTGTTTAATTACCAAATTATCTTTCTTTTCTTTTCTTTTTTTAAGTTTACATTGACAACTGAAAGAGCAGTGATTGAAAACTTATGGTACAGTGATTGACAACTATTTTAGCTGGTTTGACAACTCATGCGTTACATTTTGTAATATGCTGAGAAAACGTGTTGTCAAACCAGCCGTGATAATTGTCAATCCTTGCACCCTAAGTTGTCAACCATTACTCTTTCAGTTGTCAATGTAAACTTAAAAAAAGAAACAAAGAAGAAGGGTAATTTGATAATTAAACAAATAAAATTTATTACAAAAGGGTCCCTTAGAACTTCAGAATAATTTTATGATTTTAAAAGACTTTTTTTATTTAATACCTTTAGGTGGGACCTAATTGCAATTCTCCCTAATTATATACCGCTCTCGGGTCAATAGTCTCCCCAGTTCCTTTCCAAATTATTGGATTCGCCTAATATCGCATCTCGTGCGGTAAATTGAAGAGACTTTAAGAATTTCAATTCTTTTTCCTAGGCACAAATATTTTCCCATTACACCATCAAACCATTGAAGAGATTTTAAAAGAATTATTAGTCTTCTCTCTGTGCTTTCATAACACTTGGCCTCGCTTTTTTTTCCTTATCTGGTGTATCGAAACTTGGTCTCACTTTCAAATCCTTTCATCCCCTGTGAAAAACAAGGCGGTTACTTTCATGTTTTCCCATCATATATTAAGTAAGTTCTTTGTAAATTATATTTAATTTAAGTTAAAATTTGATTAAATATAGTTAATTATTTATTTATCTTTTGTTTTTAGCAAAAAAAATATTTATCTTTTGGTCTTCTTCCATATTTAAACTACGCCCACTTCTCGCGTGTCATGTACAAGAATATAATCAAAGAAGGATGTTACATAAAATAAAAATTAAAAAAAAAAAAAGGAAGGAGAAGAAGAAGGAGAATGATGAGAAGAAAGGGGAGAGGGGAAAAGACGCAAGGTAAACAAAAAAATATTATATGACCCACTTTGAATCGCTCAGACATAAAGTGATGCCCAAAATAAGATTATTAGCTATAAGTGGTTATTAATTGCAATTCGAGTCGAGTTGGACTGGCTGAACATGTCAAAGTGAATATACAGCCAGGAATGAAGATATACAACTTTCTGAAGTCTCATTTAATTAATAAATACTACCTCCAATTCTTAATATAAGAACTCATTTGATTTTTATTTTGATTCTAAATATAAGACTCCAATCCACTTTATCTTTCATATTTATCTATTTTTTTCTAATGTAATCTTTTTAGTAATAATAGTTCTAGTCAATACACTTTATTAGTAAGGATATTTTAGGAAACAAATCAACTATTTATAATAAATAACTAACTTAATTTATTTTTTTAATCTACTTAAATTAGTTAATTAGCTCTTATATTTAGGACGGAAGGTAGTATATCACAGTGCACAGATTTTTTTGGGACCAGAATTGCAGCACACAGATTTGAATACACACTCATCCGTGGAGATAATGAAATTGAAACATGAATTATTGATCCCGATCCCTTTTCTTATCTTTTTATCCTCATCCCATCTCCACTAGTACTATTGGATAGATCAAAAAAATAAAAAATAAACAGTTAAGATTTAAAGATTAATTAAAATATTAAAATTTGATGTTAACAATTTACTATTATATTGTAGACTATATCTAAAAATAGAAAAAAAAAATAATGGTTTTATATAAAATATTAAACCTCAACCATTTATTTGTTGATGCAACAGTAGGGACGGGTTGCGCAAAAGATTAGAAGAGAAAAATCAAATTCAAATTTTATTGCATGATTGTAATGTAATTTACCGCACGCTAAACAGTTTCAAGAACAGAGATTCTACCCCAATGCATAGGCAAATGGTGAACACAATGTGATTTATAGGAGAAACAAAATGAAATATCAAATTTTTACATTGATTATATGCATTAACCAATGTAAAAAAAAAAATGATTTCACAGGTCAGTGAGTGGTGCAGAGAGTTCATTTTCTACAACAATTTTGATATTAATGACTGTAAAAAGTTAATCAAAAGTCTTTGAAAAAGAAATACCACACCTTCCATACCGCTCATTAATTAGAACCACTGTAAGAAAAAATCTATAAGGATTGTAAAACTGGTGTAGAATGTCCAAAACTGTTTATACTGGTAAATTCAACCATAGTTTCGAGGCTGTTTTTAAGAAACTTTTTTAACCGTCTTAAAAGTTTTTTTTTTTGGCACTTACCTCGTAAACCATTTCCACAGGTGGAAAATTATTATTGAAAAAAAACTAATACTCACGGTCAATATCCATCATAAGAATCCCTCGCACCCTGCTTTAGCAATCAAATGACTAGAAAGTTAAAGGACAATGAGAATCTAGGGGGGAGCCATCACGCATAACAAGAAATTCTTTATGACTATGCATCGGTAGGAGAAAATGGTTCGTGTAGGATCGGATCATAACAAAAAAAAAAGTGCTAAAATCAAATTATAATGTAGTCCATTTCCTGATATCGCTGTTTTTATACAAGTTTGAACATGCATTTTATACGTATTTATATTATTATTAGAGTATTAAATACGTACTTCTATATACAAAAAACTCCATTCATCCTTGGAAAATTTCCTACAGATCGAACAATAATTCAAGCAGAAGTAAATAACAAAGTTAGGCGCATGTACGATGCATAAATATAAAATGAATTATCTTGAAAATTAAATTAGAAGATGAGCCATATGTCGTAGTTGTGGGCTACCCTCAGTTAACGGGTGAGTGGCTTCTTTTACTCTTCCCTTCCATCTCTATTCACTTGTCCTTTTCTTCCACGGATATGGACCGCTTATTAATTAATCCTCCACGAACTTCTACTTTCATCTTCTCTTCAATCTGCACGATCGCCTCTAGAGTTTCAGTTATTCGGATCTCTCCATTTCTTCATTATACCTTGAGATATATATATATATATATAAACAACCTTCGTTTCTAATTATACATCTTATAATTAGGACCGGAGGTAGTATATCTGTTACTTAAGCTGCATTAATTATATAATCATAAAACAAGATACATAACAAACCCTTAGATTTTCATCCAAATCTCCAGACAATAATGCATGAAATGATAGAGGGTTCATATATATATATATATATATATATATATTCTACTGTACCTTATAAAGTTGATACCTACGAAAAAGAGTTCATGTTGCGCCAGAACTAAAAGCGTGTTGACGTTTTAAAGAGCGTACAAAGTTGCCAGTTTGGGAAATTAACTAACGCATGGGGAGAGGAAAAAACCTGTGGTGGAAATATAAAGGGCTAGCAATAAGGAGTTGACAATTACTAGTTCCACCACCTAAAAGTTGAGACCATTTAAACCGTCCAATCCGATTTCGGGTATTTGTTCCGATCAAAGTTTGCCGTGGAACCTTCACCTATACGGTTTTTTTGTTTCCTTTTTATTATGTGAATCAATCTTTAATGCTCACAACTAACTTCTCTAGGGCCGCCATGAATTCCATGGGGGTTAATTCGTTAGCTTCAGGTGTATACAGCATGGCACAGCAAAGCAAGATGATCACGAAAGTCTGGATGGATCTTTGTAATTAATGCCATCTAGGAATATAGATGGACCAAGTTAATTTTGTGCAAGTTTAGTTTTATTCGTCATCTTGCCTTGGTTCTATGCTCATTCCTAGAATTATTTGTAATTTCCAATGGTTAAGGTGTATCAGCAATGTGTTCTTTATATGCTTGTTCATTATTCTGACATGAAGAGAGGCAGAGAAAAAAACCACAGTACACTGTCGCGCTCTTCCCCCTCTCCTATCCTGTTTTATCTCTCTTGTGAATTTACATGGTGCCCAAGGCCACGCATACAGATCCTCTGGACTGATCAGGAACTAGAAGAAAGGGACGCATGATCCATCTACACTGGACTTGCCCATTCCCTCAACAATCAATAACATTCATCTATTTTTTAAGTTGGAAGAAAAGAAAACATCAATATATCAACATATGCAGTGAAATTCATAACCAATGTCACTATTCACAAGTAAAATTATAGATAATAAAGATGTGTAGTTCCTCTTCAAATCCCGTCTAACTTTCTTTTGTTTGGTGGAAAATGTGGTAGTTAGGGATGGCCCTACTATTAGCTCATTTGGAATTTTTTTCTTCTTCTAAGGCATAGATATTCTTCTATTAGAAACAATTCTATTCGAGACACTATCGGGCACTAAATGTGGGCACTTCTCCCAACAGGGATTCAAACCCTAGTTCGCTATATTGTAAGAAACTAATCCTTTCTGTTAGACTCAATCCCGTTGCTAATTCATTTAGATATGATTCAAGACAAAATTCTCTTTATTTGCTTCTGGAAATCATGGTTGAAAAACAAGCCCAATATCACAACAGTGAACAGAGATCCATCATGTGACCTTCTTCTCCGCTGACAGACCTAATTCATTAACGTTTTGGGCCATATTTAAGAGCTCACATGATTCACCATCCAAAGAAAAATGGACCCAGTCTGAGTCCAAAGTTGGGGTTTCTTAACCCGTTGATGACGCCAATCTATATGGGTCAGACATTAAACTAAATTATCGTCTTCCGGCCCTTTAGCGGGTCTTTTTGTAGCCAACCTTAGCCTTCGTTTCTTTTTTCTTCGAAGGGAAAAAATGTCGTCGTGTGCTGCAATGAGATGAGAGGCAAAGCAACTCGAAAACAGGTTGATTTTTATCTTTGGTATTTAAAGCTGGTGAGAAATGAAAATATGAAGTCACCGAAAACAGAAAAGAAAAGGGTTGCTGATTTTTTTACACCCTGAAGAAGACCCTCGTCGCCTGCGTAGAAAGAAGACAGTAAGGTGCTTAGACGGAAGGTTTTGGCAAAGGGGAATTGATGAAGCGTCAAATTTCAGTGAGGACGTTGATAATTAAAAAATTCGCACTGATAAAAAGAGAAGCAACCATTTGTCGTCAAATGCGCCTCTGATTAAGAAGATCGGTCCGTATCAAGGTAAAGGTTATGCTTCTACAGCTTGAACACTGAATCTTTAACTGTTATGAGCCCATGCAATTCATACAAAGGAAGAAAAGGGGGGCGGGGAAGCTATGTGTGATTTTTCTAGAAGATTAGGTCCGCGTCGCAATATGCTTTAATCTAAATAGTAGAGTGGCGGCAGGGGAAAGCTTCATATCTATTTTGAATTTGGCATGAAACGAACCAACAAGTTGTTTAATTGCTGAAGCCGCTCTTGTAACGCTCGCTCCTTTGGCAGCATTAGAAACCGGAATTCGCACGAAATGAAGAATCAAACTCGTATATGAAATACTGATTTCCTTGGTCTGTTATTTACCAGTGTACAATATGGCCCCCCAACTTTCAATCTACCATTCGCACCATCGCGGGGGAAGACGATCCTATTCATCACTGCCTCTGCCCTAAAATCCTATACAGTATAAATTTATCATCCATATATATATTGTTGCTATCATATTTTTTTACGGCCGTTTTCTTTGGCCGGCGATTGCTCCGACTTCAAGAGCGATTGGAGCGATGAGAAGACGAAACGACACACTGCATGAGTCTCCTGTCCCACACAAAATGTCTGATAGGTATCCAGCTAAATCCTCGGGTGAAAATCTCATAACCGAGTCCAACCCTAATACTCTTCTCGACCCGACGCGATGCTTCTCATAGAATTCTCCGTATCTCGGTAAAAGCTTCGACGATATCGACGCTTTGATCTCCTCTCGCAGTTTGGCGTCCGATACGATCCACGACGATTGTTTCATGCATGTCTCACTGAATTCGGCGTTGAAATTCCCGAAGCACGCTTTCACCTGCTCCGCTGCCATCTCTGCCGTTGGTTTTTCTGGCAGTGACGTTAACACCTTGTTCCAGCCCATACGCTCGTACTTGGATACATACTCCTTCACCTTTGATTCGTGCATTGTCAACCAATCCTCGCCGAGAAGGGAGCTCAGATTAGATGCTCGCACCTTACTGACGACGTACTGGAGGTTATTGGCGAGGAAGAGGTAGGAAAGTGCGATGTCCTTGTATAGCTCCGCTTTCCCATCGAGTTTACAGAGGACAACGAGTATCAGCCATGCCAACCGCACCGATATTTCCGACGACGGGTCGTTATCGTCGCCTGAACTTGGGAAGTAAGACTCTGGCAACCGAGACTGTAACGTTAGTGGCCAATCGGCGACTATGTCGGCGAGGATACCGTTGTAATCGACGAGGAATGAGAGGTAGTTCATGACGTAGCGCGTGAGCGGGTGGACTCCTCCACCTGGCACCGGCGTCTTAGAGTTGTCCTTCTGAATCGCGGATTCGAAGTCAGAAAGCATTGTACGAACTGCTTCACCGAGCTTGACCATGGAATTGACAGCCTGTAATCGGATGGAGGAGGTTGATTCGAATGAGAAGATGGACTCAATTTGTGGCCAGTTATCGGAGATTGCTTCGTACACGTCAAGAATCCTAAACATTTTCTCCGGCGTTTTCTTGCATTTTGCCACGAGTTCAGGGAATCCAAACAAAGACATAGCAGCCTCTTTGCAAATCTCAGCGAAACAGGACTGGACGATTCTCTCCGAAGAGGCGAAAACGTGATCGCAGAGAATTCTCTCTCCATAAAACAGAGTTGTGACAGCGACTTTGATGGCTTTCAACCAGTACTTAATCTTCAACTCGATCACCTCCCAATCCATTTTCTGGACCTGAGAGAAGGTCAGCCTCTCCACTCCGAGATGGTACATAGCCTCGTCGACGATCGATTTTCTCATGAGGGTGTAAATCTTGACGCACTCTTTTCCATAACCAGCTGAAATCATGCATTCCGCAATGGCTTTCAAATCCTCCATGGCAACCATAGAAACTCTCTCCGTCTCGGAAATGGAATTATCAGTGACAGAACGGCACTCATCCTCTGAGAAATCATCGTCGCAATCGGAAACACTGGTTCTCTGATCGGTGGAGGAGCGACTGGAAACGGACTCGGGATCCAAATGATCTCTGTTGGAGGACAATATCTGATAGAACTCCTTCTTGAGCCTCTTGGACGCAGCTTGCATCAAGAGTTGAGCCTGAACGAGGCTGGGGGAGTTGGAATCCAGCGTGACGAAATAGCGCATGGCGGATTGCAAGCCCTTGACGGCGGTCAGGTAGTGTTTGGCTTCTTGGCGGTCGCCGGAGAAAAGAGGGGTGATTTCGGCATAGGGAGATTGGTTGGAGTCCCATTTGGTGATGAGGGAACGAGCGATCTCAATGTTCTCTTCCATCAAAGAGAGTGAGAATGCCGGAAGAGGGGAGGAAGGCGGGATGGATATTGACGATAGAGGTGAAGAGGGAGAAGGAGATGAAGATTTGGAGAAGATATTTCTCATTCCTTTGATGGGCATGTGAGAGAATTAGTCTCAAAGCGATTTCTTAGTTTGCCTCTTGGGGTTTGTTGAGATTGGGGGCTAAATCTCACGTGGGAGTATGATTGAGAGAGGGAATCATACAAGAGAAGGAAAGAAGAGGACTTCGTTTGAGAGAGGAAAGGGTGGGGAAGAGAAGGGGTATTTATAAAGAAGGAGAGGGAGAATATAGCTTCTGGGTGTCAGGGTCCAAGAAAGTGCGTTAGAATCAGCGTAAAGGGGGACCGGACAGTGAAGACCATACGCGTATTAGTAATTTGTTTGCTAGTAGTACTATTTTTCCCCGTCACTTTTGACGCCTACGCCACCCTTGCAACGTTCCCACCTATCATTTCTACTCGGGAGTGATCATCTGAGAGGGCCAAATAGTTTTATTTTTTTTACTTTCCTTTTTTTATCTCTTTTTTATATTATGATCTTATAAATACAATTCATTTATTTATGGCTACGAAAGAAAGTTTGAGGTCAAGAGAATATGGCCCAGCTCTTTTTCTTTTGGTCTCTTCCCTGCCGCCAAAACTAAAGGTCGAAATTGCACAGCAAGTCAGTTTTTCAATTTTAATTGTCTTTGTTGAATTTAATTCTGGAAGCCGTTCCAGCGAATTAGATATACAACATATAATATCCATCATTAATTAACAATACCGGTGAATATTATCAAATATTCGTGCTTTCGAACAACGTAAAAGTATAAAGAAATATGATTGCATGCGGGTACCTTAAATTTCATAATTACATTGTTATTTTTAAGTTTTTACTTCATCAATCTATTTATGAAAAATAAATAATGGATTGGAATCATAATTTCGAAGTAATCAAGCTAATTATTCATCGGCTTGAAAATCTGATAAAATATTTTTATACAGGAAATTAAAGTCCTTCAAATTCAATTTATCCATCAATCACGATTAGTTCTTGTCATATAATCTCAGGAGTACGGTTATTTCGCGTTGATTAATCATGTGAGAGAACAGTCTTTAATTTCGAATAGCGTTGGGCTGATTTAAACCAGCCGGCCGGCACTCAAAGTAAGCAAACACAAATTAAGGTCGCTGACCTTTGGCGTCATATATATATATATATATATATATATATATATATTTATAGCGTTTTGAACTGAAAAATGTTTTTCTGACTATCCGTATGATCAAAACATCTATAAACAAACATTTTAATTCAAAATAAGGTTTTTGTTTGAACTTCATTTCTGCCTTTTTCTCTGTTGGGAAGTTTCTTATTTGCACTGAATAGCTTCCTATTTCTTCGTCGTCGTCTTCTTCTAGTGGTGTGGTTTCTTCTCTCTCATAGAAGAGGATGCTTCTTTCTCCTGTATGAGAGTTTTCTTCCCTTTTACGTGGGTCTTCTTTCATTATAATTAATAGTTTATTTGTAGGTGAAGAGCATCCTCTTTCTTAGGAAGAACGCGCACACACTTGATAAAAATGTCTGTGAGAAGTTGTCAATACAGCTTTATGATCGGTTAATCTTTTTTTCCCCAACCTCTGAATGCCCGGTCTAATTTGGTGTTTGTCAGTTTTTTATGGAGGTGGATTACTGTTATTTTTGCTATAACTATTGTGGGCGTTTTGTGATTCTATGTTATGACGAATGCATGTAATTTAGCGGCAAATATATTTACATGGCGTTTATTTGAGGAAACTGTCTCTGTACTATTGAAACTTCCTGTATTTAAATTAGCAAACTTAATAACATCGGCGGCATTAATATTATAATTGCTCAAGGCGTATGATGAATATGACTTGGTCTTTTCATCATACTCTTTCGTATACGTACTTTATAAGCCCGCCTTAAAGTATAGGCACGTAGACTCGCATTATAGGTAAAAAGCTCCTACATATGAAGACTCAGTCTCCTCATAAATTAATGGGGCATGCTGCTTATGCTTTCTGATATAGCTCATCATGATATATCCCTTATATATTATTCATTTGCTTTTTCACTCTAGGATTCTCATGAACGAATAATAGCTGAGTTTAATCATTTTATGCAGAAGTTTTAAATTTTATACACATGTAATTAAAATGATGACATGTTCAAGCAAAATAACCATTAACTGTGCCTTTTTTTTTTTTCTGGGATCGAAACACAGCTTGGTGTAATGAAAATTTGCGCGAATAATAATAAGTCCGCGTTCAAATTTTTCATTACCCATTGTCATGGAGATGCACTTAATAATAGTGGTTTATCAGACGTTAATGTTGCAGACAATATACGAAGGTACGAAAAAAAAGCTTCGGTTTTATCTAAGCAGAAGTCTGGTCATATATAGGTAACTAATAACTGTAGTATAATGACAAGGTCTACGTACAAGTTTCACTAGTCAATGACGTTAGAGTATACTACTATATAGGATAGCCATTACATTAGCCAAGTCAACTAATTATCAGCAAAAGGAGGGGTCAGGATCCGTTTTAAGTTACCGCTAAACGGATTGCCGTTTTCGAATTTCTAATTAATATTTGAATCTATATGGTTTAATTAATTGTTAATTAACTTATATATGCCATCGTCATTTGAGTTGGCTCCTTTGTTCGCTTTCCTTCCACACGTTATTAATAATTTATAACGCCAAATTATTACCGGCAAAATATGGGGTTTAATTTATCATTTGTTAATTGATAACTGGACCGGTTCTTTCCCTTTGGGATTTCGTTTCGGACAACCGCCATTATTGTAGTTGTTTATCACATTTTTGCTTATTTTGGCCTGCATATGCTCACTGTCTAGCTATCATCCATATCCAATATTCCAATTAAATAAACAAGCATCAGTATGAAGTCATCATCATTTTCTTTAAATTATACTCCTCCGGTCCTTATTATAAGACCCCATTTGACTTTTTATTTGGTCCTAATTATAAGACCCCAATCTATTTTGTCTCTTATATTTATGTATTTTTTTTCAAGATAATCCTTCTAATAATAATAGTTTTAGTCAATATACTTAATTAGCAAGGATATTTTAGGAATGACAACACTTATTTATTATAAATAACCAATTTAACTTACTTCCTTAATCTCCTCAAATAAATCAATTGGGTCTTATAATTAGGATCGGAGGAGTATTATGTTCAGATACCGTGTCTTGTCTCAGCTCAAAAAAAAAAAAAAAGATACCGTGTCTTGTCAGGGACTTGATTGCGTGGCAAATTTTTGATCCAGTCATAGCTAGCAACGCTCGATAATCTTCTTTTAAAAAAATATGCCTTTTTTTTTGTGTGTAATCCTCCGATCCGGCAGGCACATCATAGCATTATCCTGGGAATATAATGACCGTGTGCTTTGCGTATAAATTAGAATACATGAAATTCAAGGCTGAACCGGAGGAATGAATACGTGGCAGTTGCGGGATGGCCCGTCTGCTGACTGAAAAATGGGGGGCAGGGATGGTTGGGGTTGGGTTTTGACTTTGGAGGAGAGAATTCAGGTGGCAAGACCAAGACGTGAGAACAGCTGTTATGCTATTCTTCTCAGCGCTTTGACTTCTTCCTCCTCCGGGTATCATAACAGCCGTCCTTTGTGGCCGGCAGTACTATTAACGTTGTGTCAGCTCAGTCACTGCTCATTCTTGCCTCGCAAAAATTACTCATTCTGCCTCTACTTACGCCACCACACAAATAATTAATGTATCCTTCCATTATATTCCTATGAGCACAAACGCACACCTCACGATAATTAATCCGACTACATCAATTTTGTCCATAATTTATATCACTTGTTTTTCTAAAATTACCCTAAGAGAGACGTGCGTGCTCATTAAAGTAAAATCAACCCAACAGGGGGTTGGTTCAAGTGGTAAGCGGTTTGGTACCACTTAAGCAAGGTCTCGAGTTCGAGCCTCAGCATATGCAGAAATTCCTGTTGGGAGACTCATCCACCACAGCTAAATGTGCGACACGAGTTGGATCCAGATGTAGAAGAAGCAAAGTTTCGGTGAACTGGGTGAGCAACTAAAAAAAAAAAAGGTAAAATCATGGCTAGACCTAAAATATGCATTAAAGTTGAACCAAAATACATTGGTCAAGATGAACACTAAGGTCCTGTTTGGTACAAAACATTGAAAACGAGAGATTATGATTGAGATTGCAATTGAAAAAATCATTAAAATAGTATTTAGCATGAGTAATTGCTTGTTATATGGGATTAGACAAACCCATAGAGATGGGATTGGAAAATACCACTTTTCTCCATGGTATTCTCCAATCCCATGTATATGGGTTTGGCTAATCCCATATAACAAACAATTTCTTATACTAAATACTTTTTTAATAGATTTTCTCAATTGCAATCCCAATTTTAATCTCTTATTTTTAATGCTTCCTACCAAACGTAACCTACATTCCTATGAACTTCTTATATTTTAGAACTCGTTATTACATACTATATTATTTTTTTTTAGTAATTATATTTTTTTGAATTTTATATAGCAATTTTTGTAACTTTGAAAAAAGTTTATTATGAGATCCCAAATAAATAATAATAATAATAAAATATTAATACTAAATGAGAAGTTGTACGCTCAGACTTATTTTTATAAGTTATTCTATTATTGTTGAGATTTTTTACTTAATATATATTCTTGGGACTTGAGCAATTCTCCTCCTTATATATATATATATATATATATATATATATTTATATATTAATCGAATACTGTTACAGTGGCCGAGAAGGAAAGAAAACGGGGGACGCGCAGCATAGAGGTCTTCTGCTTGTGCTTTGCGTGACAGTTAATCTGAATGCTCAGTTCCTCCGCGTTTACTACTGACAGCGACAAATTTACACAACCTCTCCTGCTGCTTCTCCTTCCTGTCCCCATCAGCCTCCCTCTCTCCCTTCCCTTTTATTCCAGTCATTCCCTTCAATGCATTCCCATTCTATCTTGAGCCTCTAGCCAGCATGCTTTTTCACACGTGATTCTCCATGATTTTTAATGACTCGCAAAATTTTAATTCTTCCATAAATTATATATTCATTATAGATCTTTTATAATAACAGAATAAATCACGCAGGCATGCATGTTCTGAAATAAAGAGTTATATTTTAATTTTAAATTACCGTTCATG